TTTCCTTCATCCAATTGTAGCCAATGAGCATGAGTCTTTAGAGAGCCAATCAGGTGTCATCTTGTTTTGGCAATGGGCCAATCAGATCACAGTAGGGTTCAGTTATTGATGTCATGTATTGAAGCTGAGAGGAGGACATTTGTCAGTGTGTTATGTGATCGCTATCCAGTTGGTTGGGTTGGGTTACGTGATCGCTATCCAGTTGGTTGGGGTTTTTTGTGTTCTTTCATTTAGTGAACTTGTAACACGTAATAAAATTAAAGTCATGGTGCAAAGAGTTGACTGGTTGCCCAGAAAGCGATGTAAAATAGTATTATTAAGTGAACAAGGCTACAGTTATAAAGGAATTAGAGGAAAAATTGGGTGGAAACTTAACCAAAGGTAGCATTTCTACTGTACACTTTTCCCAAAAGGCTTCCACAATTTTGGCCACGACTGTATATATATGCATACATGTGTATGTGTGTGTGTGTGTAGGTATTTATGTATATGTATATATGTGTGTATATGTGCATATTATATTGTATGTATGGTTTATTAAAGGAGCTATATCAGATTGCCCACAGCAGATGCACCACCATGAAAAATGATGTAGTTACTTTAATGAGTTGCTGGGCCTGCATTCCTGTTCTATTCACATTTCCATTTGGTCCTGAGGCACAATTCCTGAATCAAATCTGAAGCATTCCACCACCCCATCCTCTGAAAACACACACACACACACACACACACACAAAATTTGGAAAGAACTATTGAAGAAGTGGAGATGCAATTATAACAATTTTCCAGATGTGAACATGGAAGAAAGTGAAGACACACTAAAGGCAGTGTCACAGTGGGGGTCTTAGGAAGTGCTTTTTGGGAAATGCAGAAAGGAATGGTGATTAATTAGAGCCTCTGAACAAGGTTGTTGATTTAAGGACTTAGAAGTGACATATTCATACCCTGCAGGATATTGATAAATGTCTATTTCACTTAAACATAAACCAGCTCTGAAGATACTACGTAATTGTTTAAAAAAATCAATCTAGTTCAGAGAATAAACTGTATTTTCTCCAAATCTTGCTTGAATGTATAATTTTAAATGGAAAAAAAGGGGAGGGGGGAGCATTGACTTTCTATTCTTTTCAGCTCAGTAGAATAAAACTCCCTTTTTATGGCCCTGTAGTAATCCCTTAATTCAGGGTACAGTCCAGGCAAACTGCATGGAGCTGAACGTTTACTGGCTGGATGCCCTTCCTAACACCTATGCCGAGTTTGCAGCAGATGTTTTTTCTTTGCGCCCAGAGAGAGAAACATCTGTCACAGGATCAAACTTTCAAACTTCTGAGTGGGAGGCAAGCCCACTAGGCCACCACATCACTCTTTCAGAACAAAGCTAATAAAATTACAACCTCACTTTTTCACTTTTGCACATGTAGCAAATACGAGCCATTTCTACAGCAACAAACTTATCTAATCCGCAAATCCCAAAATCAGAATTTTTTTTTCCCCATCTGGAGTGCAAAAATCTAGAATCGATTTCCAAGTGGACACAAAATTGGATGCATTCTTTTCTTTGAGGAATGCAGGTAATCTGGCCATCTCTGCCAGCTCCATCCGTTTCTCCATCTGGTCTTCCATGGTAGGTTATATTTTCTCCAGATCTTGATGATCTGCCCCAGAGGACACTACATTTGCCTCACGACATTTTTACTATTAACGAATTTCTGCTGATCTTTTCCTCCTTCGGTGGTGGCTGTAAATCCCCTTTCAGAAAAGGAATCATGCTCTTCAGAGACAACATTTATGAAAAGAGGGACCTTCCTACACAAGCTTTTTATCCAAAGAGGAAGTCGGTGGCTGCCTCTCTTATTGAAGCCAAATAGATAACAATGGCTCCCCTATGCAAACAGAACAACAGAAGGGGAAACAGAGACAGAAATGCTTGCTCAGTAAATTGAGTTTACCGGTACAAGGGCCTTTCCATTTCATCTCAATTCAAATCAAACCAGTGGAGGTTTGTGAGGAGAATTTTCCTTCGTCTCGTTATTTCAAAGCTGAAGAAACTTCATAGAAGCGTAGAGCAGGAAGGGACTGTGGAGGTCTTCTAGTCCAAGGGTTCCCAACCCCCAGTCCGTGGACCAGTACTGGGCTGCGGCATGCCAGCAACCGGGCCGCACAAACAAGCAAAGCCCCATCTGCGGGATACAGGCAGCACATAAAAACATGCACTTTCCAGTCCGTGGAAAAACTTTTCTCCATGGAACTGGTCCCTGGTGCCCAAAAGGCTGGGGACCTCTGGAATAATTGTCCTCAAAGGCAGGAAATTTCTCCTCAGTTCTAGGCTTGGATCTCCTTCTGGTGGATTCCACCCATTGCTTCTAGTCCTGCCCTCAGATGGTTTGGACAATAAATTGACACCGTCTTCCCTGTGACAGTCCTTCAAGTTTGGAAGATGTTATCATATCACCCCTGAGCATTAAGTTAAAGATACCTACTTCCCTCAGCCGTGATTTAGCCTCCAGACCCTTGACCATCATTGATAATTGATCATGCTCTTACAGACAAGCTTCCTCGCTCCTGAGATTGGAAACTATTTGCATGGGCTGTTGGTTTGAACTCTGAGTTTGGAGATTTGTTTGCAAACATTTCGTCTCCGTTCGGGGAGGGGGGGGGAGATCTTCAGTGCACTTTGAATTGTGCTCGTCTGTCAGAGCACTGGCCTTTAAATACCTTTTTGTGTGATGCAAATTGGTGTGGATGTTGCGTATCTGGATGTTGCTGAGTCATGGTCTGGTTTCGAGCTGTTTGATTGGCCGGCTGTTGTTGCTGGGGGCCATAATCTTTGGTGTTAAGTATCGTCTGTGTGATGCAAATGGTGGTGTTCATTTGGTTGCACTAAAACATCCCCTTGGATGGAGACGAAACGTTTGCACCCAAATCGCCAAGCTTGGAGAACAAACCAGCAGCCCAACTACCATCCCGAGCTACTAATATTCAAACACGTTTCAACTACTTGCATTTTCAGCTGTCAGAGTACTGTAGTGTCCTTAGCGTGAACTATCAATTTCAGGATGAACTTGACCATTTGACTCGTCAAGCTCCTTCTTCTTCTGCCCCAGTGGTTGAAGCATAAACTCGGATAATCTTATTTAAATCACACACGAAAAGGAGGTCCTCAAAGTCACACACTGATTGCCGTGACCCAAACATAATCCTTACCTAATCCTCTTTGACTAGAGACCTTTATTTTCTGAGTAGTAATCAGTGTAATCTTCTGAGTAAAAGTCTCCTATGTCACTGATGTAACTGATTCATCTGATTGTTCACTACACTGAGCTCCTCACATCCATGCGCTTTTACGTTCCACATTCCCATTGTAATTCTGTTTTTGCCATTTTGTACAGCTAATCCCTGACTTACAGCAGTTGGTTTACTGACTGTTCGAAGTTACAACAGCAATGGAAAAAGTGACTTAGGACTGTTTTTCCACTTACGACTATCACAGCATCCCCGAAGTCACGTGATCAAAATTCCGATACCTGGCAATTGACTCGTATTTATGACGGTTGCAGTGTCCCGGGGTCATGTGATCTCCTTTTGCGACCTTCTGACAAACAAAGCCAATGGGGAAGCCAGATTCACTTAACAACCATGTCACTAATTTAACAACTGCACTGGCAAGAGAGGTCGTAAAATGGGGAAAAACCTGCTCAGCAACTGCCTCGCATGGCAACAGAAATGTTGGCTCAGTTGTGGTCATAAAACAAGGATTACCTGTATAACAGGCCCCCATGAGCAAAAGTTACCATGCTACATGTAGCGTTTTGAATTGTGCACTGAAGAAATTTGAGCAGGCAAGTACCTGGAAAATTGGCTGATTGTATGACACTCAACATCTGCTGTGAATTTTGCAGCACCTTGCAGTCATACAGAAAGTTGTTAAGACCGTTTTGCCCCATCTTTCTTGCCACAGTTCTTAAGTGAATCACAGCAGTTATTAAGTTAGCATCACGGTTGCTTAAGTGAATCCTGCTTTCCCATTGACTTTGCTTGTCAGAAGGTCACAAAAAAGGGATCACATGACCCCGGGACACTGCAACCATCATAAATATGAACCAGTTGCCAAGTGTCTGAGTTTTAATCACCTCACCCTGGAGGATGCCGCAACGGTCGTAAATGTGAAAAACAGTCCTAAGTCACGTTTTTCACTGCCGTTGTAACTTTGAATGGCCACTAAACAAATGGCTGTAAGTTGAGGACTACCTGCAGTAGTATAGGTCAGGGGTGGGCAACCTTGGCTCTTTTATGACTTGTGGACTTCAACTCCCAGAATTCCTGAGCCAGCCATGCTGAGGGGAAAGGGAGAGTTTCCAAGCTGAGCCATGCTGGCTCAGGAATTCTGGGAGTTGAAGTTCACAATGCGGCCTAGGCCTCGACCAGAGGTAGGCAACCTTGGCTCTTTTATGACTCGTGGACTTCAGCTCCCAGAATTCCTAAGCCAGCCATGCTGAGGGGAAAGGGAGAGGTTTCCAAGCTGAGCCATGCTGGCTCAGGAATTCTGGGAGTTGAAATCCACGTCATAAAGTGGCCTAGGCCTAGGCCAGAGGTAGGCAACCCTGGCTCTTTTATGACTCGTGGACTTAACTCCCAGAATTCCTGAGCCAGCCATGCTGAGGGGAAAGGGAGAGGTTTTCATGCTGAGCCATGCTGGCTCAGGAATTCTGGGAGTTGAAGTCCATGAGTCATAAAAGAGCAGAGGTTGCCTACCCCTGGTATAGGCAATATTTAATTTCAATTCCATATTTTTTAACAGTCGTTATTTACCCTTCTAATTGAAGAATAGTTCCTTTATTCTTTCAGAACCATTTCCCCAATTCCTAAATTAAGAATTGGTTTTGGTTATTAAATTGCATACCTCAGCTCTGCAAATTCTGAGGGAAATGTATGGGAAATTGTGTGTGATGCAACTTTGCATGTTACTCAAAATAGTTCTTTGCTAATGACGTGGAGTGAGGGATCTAGGAAATAAATTGAAGGTGGCCGGGCATCATAACTCCATCTGGCTGAGCTTTCAGACTGCAGCGAAAGTCTTCTTCCACAGCCAGAATGAGTAACCGTGTCTTCCTCATGCTTTCTGTTTTGCTGATTGCCTGCCACATCACTGGTGCAAGTAAGTAGTACCATCTTGAGTTTTTCTCTTCCTTTCCTTCTCTTTCACCCTCCATCATATATTGACTATGTAAATCATCTAGCTTTGAATTTGCAAATAGAGTTAGTTTCATTTTTGCTCATTGAGAATGTAATTGTGATGTGCTTTTTGTTTGAGCACATTTCTACCATGTGCTTAATAAAACAAATAAACCCTTCATCCTGATAATAGCATTGGTATGTAAGTGGTTTTAGAATTTTAAACAGGTTGGGAATTTTATATATTGTATATGCATCTTGGTAAATCTACGTGGAATGCTTGGAATGAGTCACATCTAAACTGATTTGTAAATGAAAGAAACTTTCTTACTGACCCTATTCCATCTTTCTTTGGAAGCTCAGAGCAGCCTCTTAGCCTGACAATCTCTCTGCAGTAATGTGGAATAATGAACAATCACTAGAATAATGATGTGTCTGCATAATTACTGGAATATAGCAAATTCTCCATTGTATACCTGTGAGAAACAAACCTATTGTATTACAATGTGTATTTCAATGTGTATTCCTAGGTCCCTGAGAAAAGGAAAGTATAAAACTGAAGTCTGAACCCACCCTTGGGGTTCAGAATTGCTTTTTGCTATTGCTTCTGAACCTGCGCAATAAATCTCTCTGCTAAAACCCTCTGGAATTCATAAGAGTCCTTTCATTTTCCACAAGAGCAGGATACGCTTGAGAAGTTAAAATGTGCCTGAGAGATCTGAGTTAGGTTTCTTGCTGGCAAAACCTGGGAAATGGATGAGTTTCCCATTCCCTCCTCTAGCCATTGCTTTCTGGAGGCCCAGTGACACCTCCAATGAGATCTGATTTAAATCTTCTTCCTTTTGTACAAGAAGGATATGCAGGTGAAGTGGGCACTAGACAGCAAGCTTCCTCTACGTGATTACTAAAACTAACTTCTACCCAATTTCCTTTTAAGATTCTCTAAAGCAGGGGTCTTCAAACCTGGCCCTTTTATGACTTGTGGACGTCAACTCCCAGAATTCCTCAGCCAGGCATGCTAGCTGAGAAATTCTGGGAGTTGAAGTCCACAAGTCATAAAAGGGCCAGGTTTGAAGACCCCTGCTCTAAAAGAAGGCAAATGACCAGCTGTCTGCAAGGGATATAAATCCTTCCACTCCCCACCATCCAGTAAGAGCTGAAGAAGCTTCTTGGATGAGAAGCGAAATGTCTTCAAAAAAAAAACAAAACCAAGAAGTTCACAAGTTGCCTCGTGAAAAAACACCTTTGGGACATTGAGGAAAGTGGTTTGAAAGCAGTAACAAAATTCAGTACCTCTCTGCTAGTCCTCTCTGTCCCATGCCATGAAACATTTGAATAGCATTTTGAATACTCAATTGGGCATCTAAATTGAATAACTACAATCTTTTCTGGAATTACACAGCTATCTTCGACCCGCTGAATTTAAGCTGCAAGTGTGCCAGAGTAACGAGCAACTTCATTCGCCCCGCCAAATATGCAAGAGTCGAGATCATTCCAGCTGGGATTGCCTGCAAAAAAATGGAAATCATGTAAGTTTACTGAGTATGCAAAACTTAAGATTTTGAAGTTTATCCTGGGCCTTTTTTCTCTTGTCTTCTAGCATACAGCTAGTCCTTTTTCTATCTTCTATGTAAATCAGGGTTTCTCAGCCTTGGCAACTTGAAGATATGGAGATCAACTCCCAGAAATTCCCAGGCAATGTTGTTTTAAGGTGGAATAATGAAAAATCACTAGAATAATGATGTGGCTGCATAATTACTGGAATAGTGCTGTGTTAGTAGTATGTGACTAACCTAATGCGCATTGCACTTGGATACAATGTATGTAGCAAATTCTCCATTGTATGCCCCTGAACCTAATGTAATACAATGTGTATTTCTATGTGTATTCCTTTGTTCCTGAGAAAGGGAAAGTACAAAACTGAAGTCTGAACCCATCCTCGGGATTCAGAATTGCTGGTTGCTATTTGCTTCTGAACCTGCGCAATAAACCTCTCTGCTAAACCCTCTGGAATTCGTAAGAGTCTTTGTGTTTTTCCACAAGAATACTGGCTCTTTCCAAGTAAAATGAGTGACAACTAAGCTCAGTTGAACCAGACGAAATTTTACCACCAGGAGGAGCTAATTTTGCAAGCTTTATTTGAAAATAAGCTTGATGCGGTCCATGAGCAGATATAGCTTAGGTTGGCTGATCTTATAAAGGCTAACCTGGGTCAGATCTGAATAGTACTTAGTAAGGAGCCCAAAAAAAAGTCCCAGGCAGTAGAACAGACTGAGAAGTAAGAAGACAATATCCTCAAAGAAGGAACAAGTAAACAATTGTTCCACCAGAAGCTGAGCTCAACTCAAAGGAGATTTTTAAAGTAAAATCTCTCATGAAACAAATTTGATTGATGTCATTGATACAGGTAATCCTCAGTTGACAACAGTTCATTTAATGACTGAATCCAGATTGGTTCTTGCAACATAGGGATAGAATCAAGATCACGTGAAGTGTTAATTACCACTTTACAAGGCCTTGGCAAGGCCACACTTGAAATCCTGCATCCAGTTTTGGTCACCGCGATGTAAAAAAGATGTTGAGACTCTAGAAAGAGTGCAGAGAAGAGCAACAAAGATGATCAGGGGACTGGAGGTTAAAACATATAAGGAACGGTTGCTGGATTTGGGTATGTCTAGTTTAATGATGAGAAGGACAAGGGGGGACGTGATAGCAGTGATCCAATATCTCAGGGGCTGCCCCAAAGAAGAGGGAGTCAAGCTATTCTCCAAAGTACCTGACGGTGGGACAAGAAGCAACGCATGGAAACTAATCAAGGAGAGAAGCAACCTAGAGAACTTTCCTGACTGTGAGAACAATTAATCAGTGGAACAACCTGCCTCCAGAAGCTGTGAATGCTCCAACACTGGAAGTTTTTAAGAAGAGACTGGACAATCATTTGTCTGAAATGGTATAGGGTTTCCTACCTGAGCAGGGAGTTGGACTAGATGACCTCCAAGGTCCGGTACAACTCTATTGTTATTGTTATTGTTAAATTATCTTGGGACACATATATTTGCCTTCATTTGTTTAGTGACTGTTTGAAGTTACAATGGCACCTCATCCAAATTTGCTTGCTTTACAGAATCACACTAAAGAACAAGCACAAAGTCTGCCTTGATCCCAAAGCCAGATGGGTGAACAATTTATTGAAGATGATGGAAAATGCGTAAGTAAAATCAAAATAGTTTTAAAGTTATCCTTGACTTCTGGGGCTTGAGGCATCCAAGCAGTATTTTTTATTTTTCTGGAAAAGATGGATGTTGGAAATCTATTCAGCTTCTCCATTTAGTTAATAGCCCTGGAATTCCCAGGGACAAACAATCCTCAACTTACAACAGTTCATTTAGTGACTTAGGACCCTTTTTCGCATGACCGTCGCAGCATCCCCCTGCGATGTGATCAAAATTCAGACACTTGGCAAGTGACTCATACTTATGACGGTTACAGTGTCCCAGGATCATGTGGTCACATTTTGCGACCTTCTCACAAGCAAAGTCAAGGGAGAAGCCAGATTCACTTAACAACCCTGTTAACTGACTGGACAACTGCAGTGATTCACTTGGCAAAAAAGGGTCATAAAATGGAGCAAAATCCACTTAACAACCGTCTTACTTAGCCACAGAAATTTTGGCCTCAACTGTGATCATAAGTCAAGGACTGCTTGAATTGCCAACGCAGTTTGTTGATGCCCAGTTTTTAGGTCAAACAACTATACCAGACATGTCAAACACAAGGCCCGGGGGCCAGATGCGGCCCGCAACGTGATTTCATGTGGTCCACAAAGCCATCCTGGAAAGAGTGAGGGAACGGCCCCTGCTGCCTTGGCCCTGGCCAGGCCGGCCAGGAGCCAATGTACAATTTTGTGGTGGCCATCTGTGCTGAAACGTATTCAGTCTTAGCTCCACAAGGCCATCTGGAAACAGCGAGGAACCAGCCCCTGCCATGTCGGCCCCACCCCCTGGGTGCATGCTGGGGAGGTGTCACCCTTTGTGGGGAATCAAGAAATGCACCATCACCTGGAAGTGGCCAGCAAATGGCCCTCGCCTACTTCACATATCCGGCTTGATGGGCTCTTCCCTGGTCCCACCCCTTTCTGCCAGAGACCCTCAGATCTGTCCTACTCCTGCCCAGGCCCCCACAGGCACCCTTGACGCGAATGATGTAGAGCTGGCCACGCCCACCCTGTAGGCCACACCCACTCCATCCATGCCCACCCAGTAGGCCGCCCCCCGCCCCCCCAGGGCAACCGCAATGCTGATGCAGCCCTCAATGAACTATACTCTTCTATCTCTTCCCTACAGGAATGGAGTACAACTTTCCCCTTGAAATGAAGTTGGAAGGGTCCTGGAAGAGGCGAGGCCGGCGTGCCCCGTAGATCCCCAAATGTGAAGCTTCTTGCTTTCTGCTTTGTGATGGCAATTGTGTTTAATTCTTCCTGAAATGATTGTTTAAGAGTGTTTGGACTTTTTGGAAATCCAGAACCAATGTGAAGATGGAAGCTGAATCCTGGACAGGAGTGATGTATGAGAATTACGAAGTTTGTATTTCTGTGCGAGTAGATAAATAATAATAAAAAAGACAAGCTAAATCTGTGGCATAGATCTATTTTGTTTTTTGTTTTTGTTTTAAATAATAACTAGCCTTCGACTTACCATCATAACTGAGTACCCAATTTCTGTTACTAAGCGAGACAGTCATTAAGTGAGTTTTGCCCCCACTTTGCGACTTTAATTGTCACACATGTTAAGTGAATTGATGCAATTGCTGATAACACGGTTGTTCCGGCTTCCTCATTGACTTTGCTTGCCAAACGGTCATAAGAAAGGTCGTAAAAATGGGGCAAAATTCACTCAACAAATGTGCCCCCTTAACAACAGAAATTTTGGGCTCAGTTGTGGTCGTAAACCAAGGAGTACCTGTATTTCCCTCCAGCTGGCCTTACATTTAAAACAGAGATCACATTCAAAACTTGTTATCCAGTTTGTAGGAGTAATTTAGTTAACAAAGACAGTTGTGGTTCATTTAGTTACAATTAACAGTTGTTGCCTTTGAGAGCCAAACTCATTTTATTTATTTATTTATTTATTTATTTATTTATTTATGAGACTTATATACCGCTTTAAGTGCAAGCACTCTCTAAGCGGTGTACACCAGTAAGCAATGTATATATATATATATTTACATTGCCCCCAACAATCTGGGTCCTCATTTTACCTACCCCGGAAAGAGGGAAGGCGGAGTCAACCTTGAGCCGGTGAGATTTGAACCGCTGACCTGCTGAACACAAGTCAGCTAAAGTGGCCTGCAATACTGCACTCTAACTGCTGCGATCCTGTCCCCAGTTTGTTTAGTGACCCTTCAAAGTTACAACGGCACTTTAAAAAATGACCTATGACTGTTTTTCACACAATTGTTGCAGCATCCCCATGGTCACGTGATCAAAATTTGTATGCTTGGCAACTGACTCATATTTATGACGGTTGCAGAGTCCCGTGGCCATGTCTTCTCCTTTTGCAAACTTCTGACAGGAAAAGTCCATGGGGAAGCCAGACTCACTTAACAACTGCGTTACTAGGTTAACAACGGCAGTGATTTATTTAATAACTGTAGCAAGAAAAGTCGTAAAAAGGGGCAAAACTCACTTAACAAATGTCTCACTTAGCAACGTAAATTTTGGGCTCAATTGTGGTCGTAAGTCGAGGACTGCCTGTATTTGCTCACTCACATCGGCCCACCTTAGTTAAGAGAGTTACAAAATGAAGAGGCGACCTCCTGATGATCAAACCACATTGAGGGCTGGGATTTTCTATCCTTGCTACACGCACACACCTGCACACACGTGCAACAGACAGCTAATCTACAGTACGGGTAGTCCTCAATTCACAATTGTGTCCCAAATTTCTGTTGCTAAGGGAAACTTTAAATCAAGGACTACCTGTATAGGACTAATTTTCCCCCTACTCACTTTCTTTCAAGACAAAAAAAAAAAAAAAATAGGATCCATGAGGAATGAAAATAGCATGAAAAACCGAAACTATCTGTAGTGCATTTTCTACTGAAATCTGAAGGGTTAGTGCAGGGGTAGGCAACCTTGGCTCTTTTATGACTCGTGGACTTCAACTCCTAGAATTCCTGAGCCAGCATGGCTCAGCTTGGAAACTCTCCCTTTCCCCTCAGCATGGCTGGCTCAGGAATTCTGGGAGTTGAAGTCCACGAGTCATAAAAGAGCCAAGGTTGCGGACCCATAGGTTAGGGAAATAAAAATGATCTGGAAATCTCCACCAAATACAGCTGAGGTCTTCTATGGTGGCCTCAAAATATTTAGAAGCAAGGAAGGCTTTTTTTTTCTCCCAGACCATTCTAAAGTTGTAACATTTTCTTCAATCCTAATTTTGTGTCCCAAGTTAGAGTGTCTTCAAACTTGGCTACTTCATGACTTATGGACTTCAACTCTCAGAAAACTTCAGTGAACAAGGCTGGTAGGGGAATTCTGGGAGTTGAAGTCCACAAGTCTTATAGTGGCCAGGTTTGAAGACCCCCTGCCCCAAGTTAAGGGTAGATAGACATTTATCTGGAATGGAAGGAGTTCCAGAAGACTGCTTCTCCTTGGTTGTGTGAAACTGGCTGAGCAGAGGGAAACTGGACAGAAGAACACTATAGTTTCCTTTTCGGTTCTCATATAACTGAAAACAAGGAAGAAATTGCTCTGCTGTCAAATACAGATCCAAAACTTTCTTTTCAAATTCTGTGGAAACAATATTGAGATTAAAATATCAGATTTCCTGCTAAGAACTAAATATAAACACTTAGCCAACATAAACTTACTTATCTGCTCTCTATCTTTGTCTAAAGTCTTTAAAAGATAAATACAGGTAGTCCTCAATGTACAACCATTCATTTAGTGACCTTTTGAAGTTACAATAGCACTGAAAAAAGCAAATTACGACTGGTCCTCATACTTACCTCCATCACAACATCCCCACGATCATGCGGTCAAAATTGCTTGGCAACTGGCAAGTACTTATGACAGTTGCGCTGTCCTGGGTCATGTGATCACCATTTGCAACCTTCCCAGCTGGCTTCTGACCAGCAAAGTCAATGTGGGAAGCTAGATTCACTTAACGGCAGTATGATTCACTTAACAACTTTAGCGATTGCTTAGCAACCATAGCAAAGAGGTCATAAAATCAGGCTCAGCTGACTTAACGACCACCTTGCTTAGCAACTAAGGTTCTGGCCACAGTTGTGTTTGTAAGCCAAGGGTCTTCAAACTTGGCCCTTTTATGACTTGTGGACTTCAACTCCCAGAATTCCTCAGCCAGCGTGCCTGGCTGAGGAATTCTGGGGGTTGAAGTCCACAAGTCATAAAAGGGCCAAGGTTGAAGACCCCTGTTGTAAGCCAAGGAGTCCCACATTAGTGTGTGATCATTTTTGTCACTCAGCAGCTCCTGATCTAGTGAGAATTGTGTGAGTAGTTTGAGAAAACAAATTTATCCACTGATTACTTTTTAAAAATGAACAAAGAATATCACCTTATTTACGGTTTTCTATATCTCATATAATAACAACAATAATAACAATAGCAATAATAATAATACAGTTGGAAGGGACCTTAGAGGTCATCTAGTCCAACCCCCTGCTCAGGCAGGTAACCCTATACCACTTCAGATAAATGGCTGTCTAGTCTCTTCTTAAAAACGTCCAGTGTTGGAGCATTAACAGCTTCTGGAGGCAGGTTGTTCCACTGATCAATTGTTCTCATTGTCAGAAAATTTCTCCTTAGTTCTAGGTTGCTTCTGTCTTTGGTTAGTTTCCATCCTTTGCTTCCTGTCCTGCCTTCAGGTGCTTTGGAGAATAGCTTGACTCCCTCTTCTTTGTGGCCACCCCTGAGATATTGGAACACTGCTATCATGTCCCCCCTCATCCTTCTCTTCATTAAACTAGACATACCCAATTCCAGCAGCTGTTCTTTATATGTTTTAGCCTCCAGTCCCCTCATTATCTTTGTTGTTCTTCTCTGTACTCTTTCTATAGTCTCAGAATCTTTTTTACATCGTGGTGACCAAAACTGGATGCAGTATTCGAAGTGTGGCCTTACCAAGGCATTGTAAAGTGGTATTAACACTTCATGTGATCTTGATTCTATTCCTCTATTAATGCAGACTAGCACTGTGTTGGCTTTTTTGGCAGCTGCAGCACACGGCTGGCTCATATTTAAGTGATTGTCCACCAGGACTCCAAAATCCTGAGACAAGCCTTTGGAAAAAAATGCCAACAGCTTATTTCGATGGAAGATATAAAGATATAAATTTTTAGTGGTACCCAGATTTTTGCAGTCCAGGTATCAGATGTTTAATTTTACTATCATAGTCACCTGCGCAGAGACTTGGAAACGCACTACTAAAAGAAAGAGCCATGTTTTTACACAATGTTTCCCAAAACAAAGTACCATGCATGTGGGCAGGGGAACACAATTTGAATGTCATTCAGAAAGAGGGAAGGAAGGAAATAGCTGTACTATTGATGCTCCTCCTTTATATCGCTTCCAGCCAGACTCTGAAACTAAAAAAAACCCGCAATGTTTGTGTCACGAGTCACACTTTTCAAAAAGAGCACTTTAGTGCAGAAGAAGCCCTCGATGGTCAACGGGCCAATCTTATTTTTTAATAAATTCATTTGCAAAGGCCACAAAGGGTTGTGCCTGTGTGAATGTGGCGGAGGTTACCACAGCTGTCCAAAAAGATTGTGTGGGCTGAAATGCTTGTACAGGCAGTCCTCAACTTACAACATTTTGTTTAGTGACCGTTCAAAGTGACAGCAGCACTGAAGTGACTGTTTTTCACACTTAGCGACTGTTGCAGCATCCCCAGGGTCACATGATCAAAATTATGATCAAAAAGTAGGTTACAAGTAGTCCTTGACTTACAATAGTTCATTTAGTGACTGTTTGAACTTACAACGGCACTGAAAAAAAGGGACTTCTGGCCATTTTTCACACTTAAGACCGCTGCATCCATGTTGTTGTGTGATCAAAATTCACACAAAAACTGGCTCATATTTATGATTGGCTGCAAGCAACTGGCTCATATTTATGATGGCTGCAGGGTCATAAGTGATTTTGTGGCCTAACAACTGTGACAAGAAAGGTCATAAAATGGGGCAAAACTCACTTAACAACTGTCTTGCTTAGCAACAGAAGCTTTGGGCTCAAGTGTGGTCATAAGTGGAGAACAACCTGTACCTCTTTCCGATGGATAAAATTAATTGGAGCATTCCACCATAAACAAGGGTATCCTGACCTCTAGTGGTGAGTACAATCTTAGCAGGCCAGCTTCCCAGTCCTTGTAAAACAATCTCAATATACTGTTTCCCCAAAAGTAAGGCCTACTATACCATTTTAGACAAATGGCTGTCCAATCTCTTCTTAAAAACTTCCAGTGTTGGAGCACTCACAGCTTCTGTAGGGAGGTTGTTCCACTAGTTAATTGTCAGGAAGTTTCTCCTTAGTTCTAGGTTGCTTCTCTCCTTGATTAGTTTCCACCCGTTGCTTCTTGTCCTGCCTTCAGGCGCTTTGGAAAATAGCTTGACTCCCTCTTCTTTGTGGCAGCCTGAGATATTGGAACATGGCTATTATGTCCCCCCTCATCCTTCTCTTAATTAAACTAGACATACCCAAATCCAGCAACTGTTCCTCATATGTTTTAGCCTCAAATCCTCTAATCATCTTTGCTGCTCTTCTCTGTATTCTTTCTAGAGTCAAACATCTTTTTTACATTGTGGTAACCAAAACTGGATGCAGTATTCCAAGTGTGGCCTTACCAAGGCCTTGTAAAGTGGTATTAATAACACTTCACGTGATCTTGATTCTCTCCCTCTGTTAATGCAGCCTAGCACTGTGTTGGCTTTTTTTGCAGCTGCAGAACACGGCTGGCTCATATTTAAGTGATTGTCCACTAGGACTTCAAGATCCCTCTCACAGTTACTACTATTGAGCAAGGTACCCCCTATACCAGGGATAGGCAACCTTGGCTCTTTCATGACTCGTGGACTTCAACTCCCAGAATTCCTGAGCCAGCATGGCTCAGCTTGGAAACCTCTCCTTTTCCCCTCAGCATGGCTGGCTCAGGAATTCTGGGAGTTGAAGTCCACAAGTCATAAAAGAGCCGAGGTTGCCTACCCCGGGCCTATACTATACCTGTACATTTGGTTTTTCTTGCCTAAATGTAGAACCTTGCTTTTTTCACCATTGAATTTCATTTTGTTAGATAGCACCCAGTGTTCAAGTCTGTCCAGATCCTTCTGTATCCTAAGCCTGTCTTCTGGAGTGTTGGCTATTCCTGCCAGCTTGGTGTCGTCTGCAAATTTGAGGAGTTCCCCATCTATCCCCTCGTCCAAATCATTGATGATGTTGAAGAGCACTGGGCCCAGAACAGAGCCCTGGGGCACCCCAAGATCTCCAAGGTCTCTTTCAACTCTGTTATTCTGCTCAAGATATGTTGGCACTGATGCGCTCAACACCGTCTCCCATAATCCCCATATGGCACGGCTTTAAGAAATCTTTAGGAGGCAAAGTTTTGACTCTTGAGGAGGGTCCAGACTGAGGAAGGCTGCAACAGACCTTGATGGATTCTGTTGGGTTCTGAAGCCAAGGATATGCAGATAGACCTTGACTTAGAACAATTCGTTTAGCGACCGTTCAAAGTTATAATGGCACTGGAAAAAAAAGTGAGTTAAAAAAACATTTTTCACACCTACGTCCGGTACAGTATCATGGTCACATGATCGAAATGCAGATGTTCTGCCGCTGGCTCATCGTTATGACAGTTGCAGTGTTGTAAGTCAAGGATGAACGATGGGTAGGAATTCCGAGACTGAAACTATAAATTACATATTGGGTGATGTGGCTTGTTCTGTCCAGTGGACCTGCTGACTTGTTAGGGGTTTTCTTTAAGGGTCTGTGTGTGGTGTTATTTTGTGTCTTGCTTGTTCGTTGCTACTTCTGCTCTGCTGCTGCAAGGAAAAAGAAACTTAAGGAGGATGCAAATAGCATCCTGGTAGACGGACACCTGAAGGGATTTTCCTTCAGCTACTGCTAGATTCTTGTGGATATTCCAAGCTGCTAAAAAAGTATTTTATAACAACCCGAAAGGAACCATTTTTGAAGACAATGGCAAAGAGGAAGTTTTCCAGCTTACTGCCAAAAAGAGAAGAGCTTTATTTGTTTGGGGGCATTTCTGTAGTTGTGGAAATGGTAATGCCCAGAAGCAGCCAAGCCCCTCCTTGCTATATGCATGTAAATAATAATGCATGGGATGAAATATGCGCTGTTACTGAATATACATTGGAGGTAGTCCTCGGCTTATGACCACAATTGTTCTGCCCGTTCCATTGCTAAGCGAGGTGGCCGTTAAATGAGTCACGCCCAATTTCACAGACTGGAATATTGTCCTGGAATGGAAACTTGGGGGAAATGGTCTTTAGCCATGGCCTGACACAACCTGATCCCCAGGACTGGAGCATGCAATTTTTAACACTGCTTTGTCTAATGGAGGGCAACTTTATGCGAGGGGAGACAGAAAAAAAAAAGTTCTATGCTCAGTTCTCCAATCCCACAGAGGAACAATACTGGAGATCAGAGAACTGGCACCAATGCTATCATTTTAACCCAGGCCAGTTTGGTCTAGTGGTCAAGGCACCATGCTAGAAACGAGGAGACAATGAGTTCTAGTCCCACCTTAGGCATGAAAGCCAGCTGGGTGACTTTGCGCCAATCACCAGGAGACAGTGAGTTCTAGTTCCATCTTAGGCATGAAAAACAGCTGGATTAGTTTGGTTCAATCACCAGGCAACTGTGAGTTCTAGTCCCACCTTAGGCATGAAAGCCAGGTGGGTGACTTTGCACTAGTCACCAGGAGACTGTGAGTTCTAGTTCTGCCTTAGGCATGAAAGCCAGCTGGGTGACTTTGGGTCAATCACCAGGAGACAGTGAGTTCTAGTCCCATCTTAGGCATGAAAAACTGCTGGGTGAATTTGGATCAATGACCAGGAGACTGTGAGTTCTAATCCCACCTTAGGTGTGAAAACTAGCTGGGTGACTTTGTGCCAATCACCAGGAGACTGTGAGTTCTAGTCCTGCCTGAGTCATGAAAGTTAGCTGGCTGACTGGACCAGTCACTCACTTTCAGCCTACCTCACCTCACAGGGTTGTTTGTTGTTGTGGAGAAAATAGGAGTAGGAAGGAATATTAGGTATGTTCATTGTCTTCAGTTATAATAAATATATATTTATTATTCTCCTCAGCTTCTCCTTTCCAATGGGAGAAAATCCCAATTCCCAACATTATTTTTCCCTTCTCCGTGTAATTTTTTTTAAAAAATATTTTATTGATTTTCTATTATTACATTTCATTGGTGCTTAATGAACGTGTTGTCTTGATTGATTTGTTTTGCTTGGTGACACAAGTTTAAGTTCTTACTCACTATCCTGTTTTTCCAGCCATTGATAAAGTTAAGTTTCATGTTTGAAAATATTCTGTATCTTCTTTTTCTTTGATCCTCAATGTAAGTCTGCCCATTTCAGCACAATCCAGTATTTTCTTGATTATGTCTTCACCCACTGGTGTTTCTTCGTTTTTCCAGTGCCTTTTCCATATAATTTTATGGAAGTGATGGCCAAAATTCTATTTCTCCCTGCTTCCCTCTTTGCAGGAGTGAGGTAAAATTGATGTTCCTGGTAACTTCACACCTTTCTCCACTGACCAGGCATTGTAATGCCTGCTCTGCCTTTGTCACATTTTTCCAAATTATTGCACGAGACACGAGAATTGCTACAGACTAAGATGGGAAGTATAATCATTTGAAGTTCCTCTTGGCTTTCTCCTGTCTCGGAATAGAAAATCAGAACAGTTTTGCTTTGTTTCTCTTGCCCCAGACTTCATCCAGTTTTAATTCTGGGAAGCAGAAAAATGCAAAGATGGGGGGGAGGGGATTAAAGGGAAACCACACAGGATGGTGATATTGGTTTATATTCTAGTAGGAAAATCACACTTCCCCAAATGCAGTCTTGAAAGACTTGACAGACAAAAAAAGCTTTATTACATTTCACCTTGTAAAGTTTTTTGGTGACATTGTATACACAACTCCAGTCTGTTTGATTAGTTTATGACTCCAGGTGAATGCAGAAAGTAGGTGAATTTGATGATGATGCTCATAACCTGCTGTATTTTTGCAACTCCCAAGAGGACTAGAATTCACGATCTTCTACTTTCTAATCCAGAACTTTAACCGCTGAGTTGTGTGAATATAGAGAGTTCAGGCTTCTTGTGTTTGTTTGCACCTGCATGATTGTAACTGTTCTCGTAGAGCAGGGGCCTTCAAACTTGGCCCTTTTATGACTTGTGGACTTCAACTCCCAGAATTCCTCAGCCAGCGTGCCTGGCTGAGGAATTCTGGGAGTTGAAGTCCACAAGTCATAAAAGGGCCAAGTTTGAAAACCGCTATCACAGAGTCATAGATCTGGAAGGGACCTTGAAGGTCTTCTAGTCCAGTCCCTAACCCAAGGCAGAAGAGTCCTCATACTATTTTCAACAAATAGTTGTCCATCTTTTCTTGAAGACTTCCAATGATGGAGCACCCACAACTCTGGGAGGCAAACTATTGGTTTCCATTGGTTAATTGTTCTTCTTGTCAGGAAATTCCTCCTTGATTCTAGGCTGGATCTCTCTTTAATGATCCTCCACCTACTACTTTTTGTCCTGCCTCTCTGTGACAGCCGTTCAAGTATTGAAAGATGCTGTAAGGCAGAAGTCTTCAAACTTTGCCCTTTTATGACTTGTGGACTTCAACTCCCAGAATTCCTCAGCCAGCATGCCTGACTAAGGAATTCTGGGAGTTGAAGTCCACAAGTCATAAAAGGGCCAAGTTTGAAGACCCCTCCATATAAGGTCTCCCCTTGGCCTTCTTTTTGTTAAGCTAGAACTTGAATTGTCTCAAATTTCAGATTACATCTGTGAGCCCAACCATTATGAGTTACTTTTGAAGATAAATATATTCAACTGTACGACAGAGAATGAGGTGACTGGATGGAGTCACTGAAGCAGTAGGCGTGAGCTTAAATGGACTCCAGAAGATGGTAGAGGACAGGAAATGGACTCTAAAAGATGGTAGAGGCCTGGAGGAACGTTGTCCATGGGGTCGCCATGGGTCGGACACGGCTTCGCAACTACCGTATATTCTGGCGTATAATGCGACCCGGCGTATAAGACGACCCATCTTCGGCACCGAGTCGCATGCCTAGAAAGTCATATTATACGCCGGAAACTACCATTATTTCCGGCGTATAAGACGACCCCCGACTTCGGCGCCAATTTTAAAGCTTGCGAAAGTCGTCTTATACGCCAGAAAGTACGGTAACAACAACAACATATTCAACTGTAGCTCTTCTTTTGTTTCAGATATTTTTAATTGAGAACTGCATTGCTAAGGCCAAAATGTGTGTAGTCCAGAAACGTAAATTGGTAGCTTAAAAATTCAAGCCAAATACAATTGTACCCAACATTACTCAAAAGAGACATTTGCTGTCTCCTCTAATCCTGTGGTCAGAGCCAAACACCAAGACCACAGAAGGTCCCGATACAATGAAGGAAAGTTTCTGGGCCTTTACAGAAAGCTTCCTCCTTTAAAATTTCCCTCCCCTAGTCAATAGGTAAACTGGTATAATTACTTCTCCTTCAGAGAACACCAGGAAAAATAAATGCATACAGAAGTTTATACAACTAGATAAAGACACATATATTTGCAAGGGGATTTTTGTTTTTTTCAACCACTTACAGTATCTGCTAGTTCCCTTTAGGAAGGAAAGGTTTATAAGGCGAAAACACTTCTTTAAACCGTCCTTACTGGGAATCCTATGATCCAGCAGTGATGAAGGGCCTGGTTTTGATACTAATGCTTGCCTTAATAGCCAGCCACATCAATCAGATCGATGGTAAGTCTCTTTTATTTCAGCTTGGACTCCCATTGGGCTTAACTGCAGAACCCATTTTCTGATACAGAATAGCAGAGTTGGAAGGGACCTTGGAGGTCATCTAGTCCAAACCCCTGCTCAAGCAGGAGACCCTATAATCATTTTAGACAAATGGTTGTCCAATCTCTTCTTGAAAACTTCCAATGTTAGAGCATTCACAACTTCTGGAGGCAGGTTGTTCCACTGGTTAATTGTTCTCACAGTGAGGAAATCTCTCCTTAATTCTAGATCGCTCCTCTCCTTGATTAGTTTCCATCCATTGCTTCTTGAAATCAAGATCATAGAGCACCAAGGACCCCATACTTCAATCCTCAGCTACAAATATTCACTTCTATTCATATTTGGTAATGTGTGCTGCAGAATTAACTTTTTAAAAAAAAACATGGAATCCCTAAAGATATGCTTATTACTTAAGAACTGGGATGAATTCCTTCCTTGCATTTAAGGGAGTCTAAGCACTGTCTACAATTCTAAAAAAAAAAAAAAAGTATATAATTGGGCAGAGATTGGATCAGCCTCTGCTGTGTGTCATTCAATTCATTGGCTGCATTCATACAATTACTTTCTGCATTTGTACACTGCCCAGAGTGACTGTGTGTGAGCTGGATGTTATATAAATTGTTTAGTAAATAAAAATAACAATTATACTTGTTTTTTTGGATGTATGCAATTCAAGGTCCCAAAAGTTCCCAACTTGATAAGCCGGCGGAAAACCTAGGCTCACACTAAACTTTGTTCTGTTGTGCAAATACAACAGTTGGGCCCTCATCTGGAGAGATGTGTTAACACAGATCTGGGGTTTATGCAGTCACAACAGCTAAGATCATATATCATGCTAACCCATTGTTTGTTTCATCACTGGCTTGTAATGAATCCTTAGTGGCTTGTTACATACTTCAGTCATAAATCATGGGTTCCAAAACCCATGCTTGGAGCTCATCCATGATGCTAAGCAACGAAACAAAACAAACACTCCCTGACATTGTCTATTCTGTGAGCCCAACTAATTGTGGTTTACCCATTAAATTGTAATTAAAACAATAACTTACAGCTATTCTTTCAGCCTGCAGTGCTTATAGCTTGATGCGATTACCCAGAGAGGCAAAATAGTTATATTGTGTGTTGCTGAAAGCACTTCGGAGGAAAATCTAAGATCAAGATGTCAAGAATAAACTAAGAATAATTGCAGTATTATAAAATGTGTGCATCTGTTTGCAAACAGGTCTGGCAATGGAAGGGCATGTTGCCCACTTGGGAAGATGCAAATGCTTAAGGCAGGATTTGTTTTTTTTGGGTCCCAAAAAAGTGAAATACATCCAAGTCATCCCTCGAGGAATACACTGCCGAAGGACTGAGATTATGTAAGTGGGACTAAATCAGTTTCAATCTGATTAGAACAGCCTTAGAAGAAGCTTGTCATCTGGAAGACTAACAGCCTCATTTTTCTTTCAGATTAACTCTGAAAAACAACTGGAAATATTGTGTTCAACCTGACACTCCTTGGGTGATTTCATTGATTAAGAAGTTGACCAAGAGGTACAGTCTTGCGTATTTTTATTTATTTGTATTCTGCCTTTGTTTTTCTACAAATAAATCAAAGCGGCAAACATATGCGACACACCTTCCTTCTCCTATTTTTCCCACAATAACCCTGTGAGGTGGGTTAGGCTGAGAGTGAGTGACTGGCTGGCTTTCATGGCTAAGGCGGGATGAGAACTCTCAGCCTCCTGGTGATTGGTCCAAAGTCACCCAACTGGCTTTTATGCCTAAGGCGGGACCAAAACTCAGAACCTCTGGTGATTGGACCAAGGTCACCCAGCTGGATTTCATGCCTAAGGCGGGACCAAAACTCAGAACCTCTGGTGATTGGCCCAGGTTCATCCAATTGGCTTTCATGCCAAGGCAAGACTAGAACTCACTGTCACCTGGTTTCTAGTCTGGTCTCTTAATCACTAGGCTGGGGGTAGGCAATCTTGGCTCTTTTATGACTCGTGGACTTCAACTCCCAGAATTCCTGAGCCAGCCATGCTGAGGGGAAAGAGAGGTTTCCAAGCTGAGCCATGCTGGCTCAGGATTTCTGGGAGTTGAAGTCCACGAGTCATAACCACGAGTCATAAAAGAGCCAAGGTTGCCTAACCCTGCACTAGACCAAGGTTTCCAAAAGCCAGCCTCGTGAAGTGATGAAGGAGCTGGCCTAGGAGCAGAGACCCATGTGCCAATCCTCCCTTAGGTATGGAGTCATCTGGGGGAACATGGGCCAGTCATTCCCTCTCAACCTTGATCAGGTTCATTGCATGTGAGAAGTGCACCGTATAGTCCAAAACTCTTTTTTTGCATCATGTATATTGGTGGCTTCATGGTGGGAACTAGGCAGGTACGGTACAAGACAAGGGGATTCTGAGACAGACACTAAGAAAGGAAACAAATCAGAGAGTTTCACGTAATCTTCAAGTGCTGTAAGGTAGTCCTTGACTTATAACCAGTCTCTTAATTTTTAGGAACTCCCTAGGGATAACTTATGACCCTGGTTCGAAGTTCTGACAGCCAGCCCCCCTCCTCCATGTAATCACCTGATTGCAACTGGCCCACATTTATACCCTTTAGAAGGAAGTAAACAGAATCTGGCAAAATACTTGAAAATAGCCGTAAACGCTGGCTGATTGCCAAGCACCCAAAATGGGATCATGTGATTACAGAGGTGTGTGTGGCCATCATTAACTAGGTTGTTGGTCTCTCTGGGGAAGTCTGTTTTAACTTCAGCTGGTCACAGAGCTACCAGTCACTAAGTCAAGAGTAACTGTACATCAGGGGTCCCCAACTCCTGGGCCGTGGCCCATTCAGAACTGGGCCGCAGAAGTGGGAAGCATACACACAGCCCCACTTGCCTGAGCAGGCGGCAAACACGTGTGCAAAGTTCCATTGTGTACCCGCCGCTTGCGCAAATGGAGGTGTGCACATGTGCTCACCTGCTATTTGAGCAGACCCATCCCCTCTTCCCCTCCCGTTAGTGCCCAAAGCCGGAAAGATTGGGGGCCGCTGCTGTACATTATCCTGTACAAATTTATGTCTTATTTTGTGAAATTGCTTAATCCACAGAAGAGTGTTCTGGGTCCAAAAATTCTTTTATCATCTTTATCCTCTTGGCTAGCCCTATACAAAATAGGAGAATCACAATATTGGCCTACATCCTGTTGGTTGCTGTAAAGATTAGCAATATAAAATCTCTGAAGTAGTTTGAACATTTTCAACAATATTGAATATTTTCAACAATAAACAGTTATTATTTCTTGGCATCTGGGCAACCATACCAAAATAACATAGGCTTCAACTCATATAAGGAGCAAGGTATGGATTCTAAGATTTCCAAGTTTTGTAATCCTTTCATTTAAAAGACACTTATGACCATTTTTAACATTTAAAATCATCAGGAATTGTACGTTATATAATAACAACAAATTTGCTTTGATTTCAGATAATTGCAAATGGATTTTCCGGGGGTGAACACATCATTAAAATATCTTGACAAAGCAGCCCGTCCTGCAAGCTTCAGGTTTATCTTTCCATATGTATAAATTTAATTGCATCCATTCAAGTAGTAATTTCTGCATTCCTTGGAAAAAGCTGGTGGCAGAAGGCAGACACAAGAAAGGGAATAAAATGCAAGATATTGTGTATTTGCTTAAAGGAAACTTAACAATTCTAGCAAAGCTACTATAGTACTATAGTATATTATTATACTATACAGCTACTCCGCAGTTACCACCCAGAGCTACAATTTCAGAGTTTTGCTTCTAGTTAGTTTCTAATAATTATGACGTACTTATCGTGATATTTCCCCCCAGGACTTCACATAATCATAATCCTGTTCTTATCCTAGATTCCCTCAACTGCTTTTTCTGTCTTGTACTTTGCAAGAATATCTGAGCAGTTTTGCTGGAAAAAAAAAAGGGGGAACTTTATAAGCCATTCAGAAGCGTGGCAGTTGATAAAGGTTATTTTTATATGAAAGGCAATATTGTGGCTGATGGGTAGCCAAGCCAGGCCTCCTCTTTATGACTTAACATTTAACCACTATGCGTTGCTATATCTGCGGCACGCATCCACAACGTATACGTTTTGCACATTTGCCACGAACTATAACAATGCCTAATGTTGTGTTGGCTATGTGATAAAAAAATGTATTCCTTTTGTAAAAAGTGCCACTAACCTTTTTTGACATGTGGATAAATGTGGAGTTTCAAAACAAGTCTCAGGATTTGTTGCAAAACAGATCTCTATAATGGAGCCTGGTGAGAGGATTGCTTAATTTACAAAGCAGGAGTCTGTGTCTATTAAAAAATAATAATAAAAAAAATTAGGCGCCTAGTGGCACCTTTTCCAACTAACAAATTTTATGAAAAGGCATAAACTATGCAGCCACAAGCATTTGGAGATTATACAGTTCTTTTTTTTCTTCTTCTAGCACTGCCCGAAAACCTCATTTTTGAGCAAATGGGGACTAAGCATTTGTTCATGCAGCTCAGAATTCCATTGGTAGCCTTGAGGCTTCCACCCACTTGCATTTCTAAACCATATTTTGCCCTTTTGGACGGTTTAAAGGGATTAAAATGAGTTTTGCAGTTAAAAACCCATTTCTGCCCTTAAGCTCCTCTCTCCCGAATCCTTGTGTTGGAAAACTTTCCACCCACATGCTATCATAACAACTTCGTTGGCAGTGTTGTCTCTGACTCACAGGTGGGGACAATGTAGCTACAGGACACTGCCACAAAATGCCGGATTACAACCACCTACAATTTCTTGTATTACAGACAGACGTGGAGTCTAGAGGCAAGCAGAGTAGCATGTGGATCAACCAGAAATGGATCTGGAATCCATCTGCAATTGTATTTGGACAGGAGGCCACAAGGCATTTCCACTCAAGCTAGCTGAGAACTCAGGGAACTTCTCTCTACTGGAATATGTGCTTTGGGCTATTTTGTGAGCGTTATCTATGTGGTGCCTTCCTATTGGTTGATTGGTATGTTGATGGCTGGCGATTGGCTATTGTTTCCTTGTGCTGCCAAGCTCTCAGCTCCTAATTATCCAATAAATCAGCACTGCTCTTGACTGACAAGGGGGGGGGGCATTTCTCAGGCTTCAATCATTTCCCTGGCTATTTTTGTACCTGCTCGGCCAACAATCTTAGTACTTGCAAAACTGAATGTAAGTCCTTATTTATTGCAAAGTGAGGCTACCAATGAGTTCGGGTCTTTTCATCTGACCACTCACTTGTGTTCTTGGAATCTGGTGATTAGCTTCTTCCCCGTCTGTCCTATATAGTCACGGGGCAATCAGGGCAGGTGATCCAGTAGATTATTTTAGAAGTTTCCCAGGCTCCAATCACTTCCCTGGCTATAATCGCCAGAAAATCAACACAGCAATCAACCAGTAGGAAGGCACCACATAAATACAATTCACAGAATAGTCCAAAGCACATATTCCAGTAGAATTTCCCTGATGGACTCCAGAACAAGTCTGAAAGCTCAAAGGAGTAAACCTCTAGTCCCAGATTCAATCTTGCGACATTATTCTGGGACACTCATATTTGCCTTTATGTAGCAGTGTTTTTGGAAATAAAGATGTTATATAAGAGACTCATTGATTTTCAACATGCCAAGTCACTGCTTTGCTTCGTCTTCCATTATTGTATTATTACTACAGGTAGTCCTTGACTTACAACAGTTTGTTTAGTGACCATTCAAAGTTACAACAGCACTGAAAAAAGTGACTTATGACCATTTTTCACACTTATGACCGTTGCAGCATCCCCATGGTCATGTGATCAAAATCTGGATGCTTGGCAATTGACTATTTATGACGGTTGCCGTGTCCCAGAATCATGTGATTATCTTTTGCCACCTTCTGACAAGCAAAGTCAATGCGAGAAGCCAGATTCATTTAACAATCGTGTTACTATGTTAACAACTGCAATGATTCACTTAGCAACAGTGAGGTCGTAAAATGGGCCGAAACGCACAAATGTCTTAGCAACAGAAATTTGGGGCTCAATTGTGGTCGTAAGTCAAGGACTATGTGTATGTATTATTCTGCTAATCTTGTATCATGATCAGTGCTAGCAGGCTTCGTCCTTTAAGATTCAAACCCTATCCCCAACATCAGGGGTAGGCAACCTTGGCTCTTTTATGACTCGTGGACTTCAACTCCCAGAATTCCTGAGCCAGCATGGCTCAGCTTGGAAACCTCTCCCTTTCCCCTCAGCATGGCTGGCTCAGGAATTCTGGGAGTTGAAGTCCACGAGTCATAGAAGAGCCAAGGTTGCCTACCTCCGCCCAAGATTAAGATTGGAAACCTTAAAGGTAATGTTTAACTATTCATGAATTGCCCAATAATGCTGTTGTGTGTAGTTGGGCTGTCATAAGTTGTTTCAAATTTAGGAAATATAAATTCTTTCTTAGTCCTCAGGATGTTGCATTTAATGCCCCAGTAAAAAGTATTCCATTGTAGACGTCTACATTTCTGCCATTTTGGGGGGGGGGGGATACAAATCTCAAGATTTTGTAATCTCTTCCAATTCTTTGTCTTCAACATTAACAGAATTACTGTAAATTATTTTTACGTCGATATAATTATTATTTTATTAGAACAGAATGATAAAATGTCCTCAGGATGTTGCATTTAATGCCCCAGTAAAAATTATTCCACTGTAGATGTCTACATTTCTGCCATTTTTTTGGGGGGGGGGTACAAATCTCAAGATTTTGTAATCTCTTCCATTTCTTTGTCTTCAACATTAACAGAATTACTGTAAATTATTTTTACGTCGATATAATTACTATTTTATTAGAACAGAATGATAAAATGTTTGCATTAATAAAATTAATATATATATATTCATCATCGTGTTAATAAAGATTGTACCTAGCGACTGAATCTTTTTTTTTAACCAACACAGGAATAGTAGGAATGCGGCAGTGTGCGATGCCCTCAGATTTAAAACTACATTAAACTGACTTCTCAAAGAGGATTTTGTTTTTGACGTTGTAAGGAAAATGGCAGTAAAATGCTTCTGTTAAGCACCTCAATTTCCTGGCCCTTGTAGCTTGTAGATGGAAATAATAATGAGAGAGTATATTAAAAATAGATCTGAACATTTGTCCACACAAAAAGAGACCAAGGGTGGGCTGAATTTAGTCCACAGGGACCTAGCACTATAATGGACTGGAGGACGTTTTCTTGTTTCTTGTTCAGCAAAGGACAAAAAAATGCCAAGTAAAAAGCTGAAATTACCTATTTTTCTCAGGAAAAAACCTGATCTTGGAGGAGCAATTAAGACAATGCCTCCTTTTTTTTTTTTTTAACTAACTAGCTTTTTCTATAGATGACAATTTTCAATATATTTGGGAGGAAAAAAACTGAATAGGCACAGTAGTCCTCCAGGTTTTTGTTTTTGTACTTTTGAACTGGGCAGGAGTTTAAACTAGCCATTTGATTAATACAAATATTCTCTTTCCGATTAACTATAATGAAAGGGTAGTTAAAAAAAAAAGATGGGGATGTATAAAGTTTGCCAACTTTCCAAGAGCTTCCATTCTCCAACACAAAGTACTCAAAATGGAAAGTAAAGTGACTTTTTCCCCTAATAATGGCAACTATCCTGCCATTGGAGTAATGGTTTGCATCCAGATTTGGTCATCCTTAAGAGCACATCCAATGAAACCAATGGGACTCTCAAGATGCATAGATTTTAATGGGTCCATTCTAATTTAAATTTGGATCCAATCCATTAAGTCGCTTTCTGAAAGCTTAAGAGGTGGCATGATGGCTTGGGGTAACAATGAGCCGCAAAGAATTTATTCTAGTAAACATAGGGGAGAGAATAAATGGCTTATTTCCAGACAATATGTCTATTACTGAGATGAATCCTGTTCTGTATTAAGAACAAAGAGCAAAGACAGGGGGGGGGGGAAAAAGAGAACAGGCTTTCAGACTAGAAATGCTCCATTATTACAAATGGCGAAGTTTTCATTGATTCTTTTTTGTTGCAAATGCCCAGGTGCCCGTTTTGAGTAGCCCTTCAAAACCCATAATCCTCACCTAGTACCTCCAATACCTCTGAAGGAAATGATGCAAAGGAGGGCATCAGAAACTGCCCTGTGATGCTATAAATCCCACTTGTGTTGGAGGTGACTTTTCCCCATATTAACTTTGACCAATCTAGTTTTCTACTAAAGATATATTATGTCAACACTTAGCAGATATGGATTTTGTTTGCTTGCAAAAGATCTTAGGTCAAGGGTGGCTTGATGTTCATGAAAGGAATGTCTAGTGGTGCAACATCTGGGCACAACTAGGGAGCCTCAGTGTGAGAAGTGTACATCAGCTATAATCTGTCATTTCCGTAAGTATTCCAAATGTTCACATACAGAACCATTCTTTGATCCGACTGTGCTAAACCAGAACTTCTCAATGAACTGAGGGTTACAAATAAGTAAAAGTCAGTAATACTCTACGCTTAAATTAGCTTATATACAATCATCCTAGCAACTGAGGCTCTAGAAGCGTTGTATTGTAAATCCAACAATACATTTCAACATCCAGACAGCACCATTTATGGTTGCCTCACAGTCATAAATGTAATCCAATACTTTTGCGATCCTTATTTTAGAAAAAAAAGTATGGGCTCAGATACAATATCAGCAGCCTCAATTTGATGATCCTTTTTATTCGCATGCAACAAAGACTGTTTTGTATGTGTTAAATAGCAATTCCTTGGCACCCCGTCTTATGATGCACTTCCCATCAGTTGTCTCCAAAGCTGCATTTGGTTCTGCTTGGGAAAGAGACTATCCTCCTTGTGTTTTCCTGGACTGAGACTAACGCAACAATTGCTTTTAAAAATGCATAAATCAAAGCCTTGTGCACTTTCTAAAAAGGCACAGAGAAAACTGCAGGGCTCTTCCAGACCACACTGATTACCTAAACTAAAAGCAACCAGGAAAAGGAATTTAAGAGGTATACAAATGTTCCCAGGTTTTGTTTTGTTTTCTTGTCCCCTGCTTTCTACCCTCCCAACAACATTACAAAACATGGCATGTTTTTGTATTATTTAATAAACCGGCTCCTTTGCAATTCATATACAATCACAGGTGATTTTTTTTTTTTAAACTCCATTTTATACAAACATCTCCAAAAATAGTTGGGAGTGAAGTATGGTGGGAACTATTGCTCACTCTGCTAGTTAACATACACGTATGAGAAGGAGGAAAATGGTTAGTGCATACCTCCAGAGCACGAAAGTTAAAAAAAAAAAAAAAAACCTCCAAAATGATACAGCAGACGACTCAGGAGCACAATCCGACTGGGAATTCTCTCGTTCCAGCCCTAGGGAAGCAGACAGGAGTTGGGACTCTTGTATTCATTGCATCCAGGGCTAGAGCAAAGACCAATTTTCAAAAGGTTGTGCCTTTACAAAACCAAAACCAAAAGGGTTAATGCCCACAAAATTTAAGTTTTGTCATGCTAGCTGACTTCCCAGTACTGTATCGTAATTGGCTTGTCCATTTATATATATGTGTGTGTGTGTGTATCTATATATACATGTCCATTTATAGAACCCCCCCCTTTTTTTTGAGGTATGTAAGAGAAAATACCTGCACCAATGTTGAGGGTGGGGAATATGATCTTTAAAAGGAGAGAAAAACCTTCTCGTGCTTCGTAATTCAATTTTAGCCTTTGGGTGGGAAATGAAGTTAAAACAGAGCTGCAGATGTCAGCTCGTGTATGCAGTGTGTGTGATGCCTTACCCACCACCAAAGGGAGCCAACTCGGGTGGGGGGGGAGAGGAGACAGTGATCTGTTAAAAAAAAAAAAAGCACATTGAAAGGCCAGATGGATCTATCAAAGTCCTGCTCCAGTTTGCAGGAAGAGATCTGAAGTGGAGCTGTCATTCTGAGTTTCCTTACATGAATGTTGCTTAGCTTCAACAAGGCTGAACTAACTGCAAATGAACTGGCCTGCACCGCTGGGGATTTGTTTAACACACTGTGTGAATGTGCTGGGGATTTGTTTAACGCACTGTGTGAATCTGAAATTCTACCTTGTTTCTCTTGGAACCAGCCACAAAAAGAAACGCAAAAAAACAGCAGGATTTCTGGTTCACATACCGTGTTAAACAAACCACAGAGGAAGCAGCCTGAAGGTGTATTAGCTGCACCGACGGCCACCGAGCAAGCCACAGGATAATTGGGCCTATATAAAGGAATATTGCTCTGCTTAATATTTCTTTTCTTCTACGTAATGCAGCGAGTTCCAATTGATGAAGACAAATTCCTTTGGAAAGTGGATTGCATTCTTCAGTAATTCATTCCACTCCACCTCCAAATTCGGAGCCCAATTCAATTTTCCCTTTGTTATTTCAGAAACAATTAGCCAAACAGAAAGGAAGGGGGGGAAGGCTACCGTCTGCAGAACCTTCCTTAGGGTTTAAAATTAACTACTTGACTCTTTTTTATTTTCCTTTTTTTTTAAAGCGTATTCATGAGACAAATATAGTAGCTCCTTTAAAAATTTTCATTCACATAATGGAAACCTCATTTATTAAAAATATCACATTTTTTTTTCAGATTAGAAATAGTAAAGTGCATGAAAAGTTTAAAATATAAGCTCGAGGAATCTCGTATAGCAGCAAGCAGAAATACCCAAACCATAAAAAAGAAATTTGCCTTTGTTGCTGCTGTTGAAAAGTTAAGTGTGACTCTATCCACTAAGGGCTTATTGCTGAGTGCTTTTCTTTCGCTGATTTTGGCTGGGCAGCAGCGACAGGTGCAAGGGATCAAAATAGGCCAGATGAAAAGACATAGTATCTTCTAAGTGCATGCAGCCACCATCTTGCTTGCTCGGGACCCCCTTTTCTGTACTGGAACAGCCACGGCCTAATATTCTGCTCAAGCCCATCACAATAGCAGTTGCCCTGAGTGGATAACAGCCTCATCTCTTCTCCTAAAGAGATGACATTAAAAGAATATTTTTCCACCCTCCAGAAGAAAGAAAGGTTTTAAAATGGCCACCAGAAGCACATGTGCACGCGAGGATGCTTAAGATTTTATAAAGAAAGAAAATGAACAGCTGGGAACAAACAAGCAGGTTCCCTTTTTTAAAAAAACAAAAACAAAAACAAATCCAACTTGACAGGAAAAAAAAAAAGGAAACAACAACAACAACAAAAAGAATTAAAAGCATGACATGGTTATTTGCCAACTAGGGTTCGGGGGAAAATGCTGAGGGAATGGTTAGGTTAATATTCTTCTCACTTTTGTGTTGAAATAAAAAATTGCACCGAGAAAAAAATTGTTTATTTTGCCTGAAGGAGCCTGAAACTAAACATCTACCTCCCACTTTAGTTCTATTAACTTTTCTGAACCAAATACTTTAAAACAGACACGGAAGGCATTTATAATTTACAAAAGATAAAAACGAAGGTTGTGTTTTGGTTGGAATCTCTTTGTATACGGTAGAGATCTAGCTGGAGAATTCTCGTGGCTGATTTTAAATATAGCGGTCAGCATTTCATTGGATGCCCTCAGTTATTGTTTTTCCCTCTCGGTCATCTGTCCCGCTACCTGTGTTTCTCTGAAGGGATCCAATTTGTAATTTGGGGTTTCCTTCAAGTAAAAGACAGGTGCTACCTTACTCTTCTGGTAGACAACACGGCTTCAAGCCAGAAGTTCAGACTCATCCCTGCTTCTTAGTGCAATGGAGGTGACTCAGTGAATTTCAGACCAGAGCAAGCAACCTTTTATAGTTCGGACGTGGAGGTGGTGCACCTGGGGACTTAGTGCCAGATGCAACCAGATATTTATGGAAGAGCTCTCTCCTGCACAGAGCAACTTTTTTTTTTAATGGCAAGAAGACTAACATCTCACAACTTGGTTAGTTCAAATGAAAAGTGAACAAATTTGTACTCAGAATCAGCACTGAAAACAGTAAGTGCTATTTCCAATGATACACAATTCTCTATAGCAGGGATAGGCAACCTTGGCTCTTTTATGACTCGTGGACTTCAACTCCCAGAATTCCTGAGCCAGCCAAGCTGGCTCAGGAATTCTGGGAGTTGAAGTCCACGAGTCATAAAAGAGCCAAGGTTGCCTAGCCCTGGCCTACAGCAATTCTCAACCTTGGGAATTTTAAGATGTGTGGACTTCAACTCCTAGAATCGAAAGCTAGCTGGAGAATTCTGGGAGTTGACGTCCACATACCTTAAAAATCTCGGAGGTTGAGAAACACTGAGCTAAGGGGCCATGCATGTTGTCTAATCTAGTGCAGAGGAATTAAAAAAAAACAAGTGATTTAGGAGCAGGGGGAAGGACTCATCTGGCTGTGACTGAAAAAAAAATTGGGGAAAAAATACAAAACCTTTAGCTGTGGATGTATACATGTAAGCAAATCCCTCCTTTCTGATTTGACTGTTGATTAAGGCAGCTTTCCGTTAAAACATGTAAAGCCTGCCGCCTTTTCTCTGTATGTACTTTGTGTCTGTACCTTCAAAACAACCCCCCCTCAAAAAAAAAAAAACCTGAAAAAGGGGAACAAACAACAACTTTGGTTCCAGCCCTAGTGCCAAGTGGTAACAATATGCACCGAAAATTGTGCAAAATTGTACTGTCAACGCAGGAAACGGGAAAGGAGCATGAAGCAGCAGCTATTAAAAGCTTGGCCATACTTCACTCCTACAGACTTTGATTTACAACTGTACAAGTCCATAAACAAACGAACAGGTCCCTGCCCTCGAAAAAGAGCAGCACTACCTCCTGCTTGGCAAATGGATGCCGTTGATCGGAGGCAGGAATGGAGGGTGGAGCTCAAGCTGAGTCAACAGTGAGAAGTGGTCGGAAGGGATGTGAGGGTGGGGGCACCCCGTGATGTTGTTCTCAACCAGCCAGTGAGGATCCAAAGGCCCCAGGACACCAAGCACATTCATGTGAGGGTTGGAATAAAAAATATAGTCAATTACACCCTAGAGGAGGAGAGAGAGAAGGGGGGGGGAGGGAAAGTATAAATACAGACAGAAAACACAAAGCTGTTAATAGATTAGGTCAGTGATGGCGAACCTTTTAGAGACGGAGTGCCCAAACTGCAACCCAAAACCCACTTATTTATTGTCGGGTGCCGGGTGGGCGTGGCTGCAGTGATAACGGCAGACTGGGTGGGACTAAAAAGTTCAATCGAACAATTCCAACTTCGTGAGATCTTTTTTTTCATGAGAAGTTGAAATTGATTGATTGATTGATTGATTGAACTTTTTTTTTTTTTTGCACAAGGCGGCAGAGGCCTAAAGCAAAAGGATTTTATAAAACTCAGCTGAAGGCCTAGGACTGGGGCAGCGGCGCACGTGCCCACAGAGAGGGCTCTGCGTGCCACCTGTGGCACGTGTGCCATAGGTTCGCCACCATGGGATTAGGTTATGTTCCCCTTTAAAAAAAAGAAGAAATGTTCTTTTCAGTCCTTAAATATTAAGGCATGTAAAATGGGTGTTTTCAAATTGAAAATCTGCTTTTACTTTAATTAACTTATCAGGGAGGGATATAAAGCCTCCTCTGGCTTGATTTCATATCCAGGGGCAAAAGAAGGATGGTTTGTGGCTACAGACAGCAAAACTGACAACTGCATGAAACACAAAGGTCACATTGACATCTGCACAGTTAGTCCTCAATTATAACTGAGCTCGGAATTACAGTTATAAGTGGGTCACCATGTGAATGTACCCAATTTTATGACTTTTTTTTGCAACAGTTGTTAAGTGAACCTGTTCTCTTCAATGGGCATTTTTGTTAGAAACTGGAAGTAAATACTGGAAACTGGCAGAAAACACCCAAAAAAAAATCAGCCGTGTGATTTCGAGGTGCTGCAAATGGTTGTAAATGCAAGCCGGTTGCCAAGCACCCAAAACGTGATCACATGACCATGGTGCATTTGTGTGGCCACCTGGAACCTGGTTTTAAGTAGCTCTGGGGAGATCTGTCGTATCGTTGAATGGTTGTTAAGCAACTGTTCATTAAGCAAGGAAACATGTGGAGGTCTCCTCCAGTTAAATTAGACCAGGGGTCTTCAAACTTGGCAATTTTAAGACTTGTGGACTTCAAATCCCAGAATTCCTCAGCCAATCATGCTGGTGGAGATTTTGGGAGTTGAAGTACACAAGTCTTAAAGTTGCCAAGTTTGGAGATCCCTCAGACTGTAAGCTAATCAGAATCCTCTCTGTGACAGCCGTTCAAGTATTGAAAGATGCTATAAGGCTGGCTGAGGAATTCTGGGAGTTGAAGTCCACAAGTCTTAAAGTTGCCAAGTTTGAAGACCTCTGCTGTAAGCTAATCAGCATTTGGGCACTAGAGATTTAGGAGCCCAGCTCTACTCATTATAAGCTTAACATGAAAAGAGAACTTGCAATAATGAACTGTTAAAATGGGTGAATTCTGGTATATAGCACTAACCTACAAAACATCAGACTAAAGGTTCTAATCCAGAATTTACATCTCCTTTTAATATCATGGCAAAAGTGGACTATCTGTACAGATTTATGGATAGTTATCCTTTTTCCACATGGGAGTTCACAAACCATCATGGATGGTGCAGTTTTTACAGTTCTTCAGGGACTATTTTTATCAAACTGTACTTACCTTGAAATCAAAAGTGTAATTAGTATAAGGCATCAAGTTGTTTTCATAGGCGCTCTTGAGTTGGAAACCATGGGTGATTCTTCCTTCGGAAGCCCCAGTCTTTCCACTGCCAGTGAAGTTCATGAGACACTCATTATAACGCAGCTCCTTGAAGTCTTTGTGGTTGTCAGCCACTATTCCATTGCTTAAGTATTCCACAACACCTGGTTTGAATAAACAATAGTTGAAAGACTGAATTCACCATAACTCAATGCTTCAACATTTATTGCGCAACAGCAATAGACAGTTATGAACATTTACAAAAAACAAAGAAAATCTATACAAAATGTTTTACAGATGGCACCTAACACTGGTGAGGTTAGTAAAAATGTTTAAAAACATATCTAACAACTATTGGAAATGGAGACAAAAACCAGGCATTTATTACCATCTTTGGTGGATTGCCCCAAAGCCAAAAGATTTTGGTCAAGAATACACCTATGGTTAGAGAAAAATTACTAAAAAACATATAGATTTTAAGCCAGAATTATTTTTGTTAGGCATAATTGTAGGAAACTATTTTAGATTGTGCAGAAATGGATAGACTGACATTGAAAATGAAAGAGAAAGAAGATTCAATATACTTTAGAACATGGGATACCTTTTATCAATGGCTAGATTTACAGTGTTTCTCAACCTTGACAATTTTAAGGCATGTGGACTTCAACTCCCAGAATTCCACAGCCAGCAGTGCTGGCTGTGGAATTCTGGGAGTTGAAGTCCACATGCCTTAAAATTGTCAAGGTTGAGAAACACTGGGCTAGAAAAAACGAGGCAGAGAGAAAGGAATTTAACATATATTAGTAAGTTAAATGTTGGAACCCAGACACTACATTGCTGATAAAATACTAACCATTTGTGACTATAAAAAATTAATAAAAATATATATGAAAAATATATATATATGAAAAAATGTATTCAATAGTTACAGCCACAATTGTTATTGAAGAACCACTAACTGAATTTACTGCACTGGAATTAAAAAAGTTGCTTAATGTCCTAACGGATTCTTGTTTATGGCTAAAAACAACTTTGTACCAAAGGAAAAATTACTAGTTCAACCAAGGACTTGTGCATATTCACTCAAGTCAGCCTAATCCAACCGAACAAAAATCTCTGCCAATATTAAAATACTAATCTATAATCTGAGAAATACGTCAGACAAAGCTTAACGTGGAGAAGTGAAGCCATGCTGTTTCAAGAACACAGATCAGAATTTAATTGTGAAGCTGTAAATCTGTGTTCATTGCATAGGAGAGAATAAATTCCCAAAAAAATAAACACAAAATTTGGGTGTGCGTCTCAATACTCAGCACATTTCAACATTTTCTCCACAGCTGACCTGGTTCAATTATAGACTGCTTTTTTCTAATTACTTTTTTTTTATTTATTCAATTTAAACCTCATTTTTCTACTTTGGCAAAAGCCAGAGTGGCTAATAATCATGCAATCATTCTACAATTATTTTGGCAGAAATGCATTTTCTAGCATGCTCATCTCTCCAAGAAAATTCGGACAGTCCTCTCTCAGTGTCTGTGTCTGTGTGTCTGTCTGTCTCTCTGTGTGTGTGTCTCTCTCTCTGTCTCTCTCTCTGCCTTTCCCTATTCTAAGCATTTTCTTAATAAAAATATCATAACAACCTTAATAATTTGTTATCAGATATTCTCTAGATATTAATTTTAATCTCAAAACCAATGCTTAAATCCATTTCTTCTATTCAAAATAACTGCATTCACTATTAAAACCCCTTTTTTCAAATTTAATCAACTTTAATCATGTACAGACACCTTTGTAAAAACTCTTGAGATAAGTAAAGGAAAGTAGATGCCATTATTGATCTGTTTTGTTCTTTATTACCTAAAGAACAGCTTCTGGAAAAAAAACAGAGTAGACATATAATATATCTGATCTTCTAATTCCCTCTCACTCAAGTAATTAAAAAACGATCGTAATTAACCGTACTGTCTTAAACACTGAAAGCAGTTCTTCTAACAATATTTTAAGTTTTGCACAAAGATTAAAATTATTCTTAAAAAATAAAGGCACGGGTCAACTCCAAAGTCAAAATCAGCTGAATACCTGAATCAGGCAGTGAATTGAGATCCGCACACAGCACCAGAGGAATGGAAGTTGTGTCTACTGTTGGGCTTCCAGGCCGATCAGAGGCTTTCTCAAGAATATTTTTAAGTTCGGAGATAAACATCATCGTCTGGACAAGCTTTACATCCGAATATTCAGGGTCCCAATGCATATGGGCATTTGCTATTATAAGCAGCTGGCTGTCCACTGTATGAAGTGGTTTCATACCTAAGATCAAGGCATCGTTGACAAAATTAAACCAATTCATCCCGAGATACGGAATTGCATTTGTGCGCCTTTTGTTGTGCATCGTTAACTGCCAACGCTGGCTGCTAACATCAGATGTTTTTGCTTTGACAAGAGTTAGAAATGCAACCATTTTCTTCTTATGTTTTTTACTTTTAGAGTTAGAAGATGCTGGGGGGGGGGGGGAGGAATGTGCATGAGAGTTTAGACAAACATAATACTGGGCCTAGTGTGTGAACCAAGATTAATGAAATAAGAGATGATAAGAATTGACGGGCTGGAGAACTGGAGGGAGAGCCTGCATTTCAAACTAATTGGGGAATGTGATTTATGACTGTTAACTGGAAGAGAGAACTGTGCTTTGATACTATGTGCTCAGGGGAGGGGAATCCAGTTTTTGGCTTGGATTGTGTTTAGTGCCGATGCCATGCTTCTCAAATAAAGATTCTTTAAGCAGGGGTTCTCAACCTTGGCAACTTTTAAGACTTGTGGACTTCAACTCCTAGAATTCGCTGGCTGAGGAATTCTGGGAGTTGAAGTCCACAAGTCTTGAAGTTGCCAAGGTTGAGAACCCCTGCTTTAAGGTAAACAATGCCTCGAAGTTCTTTTGAGAGTTTCATCTGTCGGAACCATGACAGTAACCTTTATGGATTCCAGATTTGCAGTGAGTGTTGCCTTCACAGCCAGTGAAGGGATGGGATGAGACGCTTACAACTGGGGAGGAGTTTGTAACATAACATATTTCTTCCCTACTGCCTATTTTGACACAACACACGCAGCTCCATGAACACAACCTGGTTACAGGGACGATGCAATGCACAGAGGCGTGAACTGGACCTGCTTTCCCCACTTGCTCTGCAGATATTTGGATATAACCTGCCCCTCAACATCAGGTCCCCAAAAGAAATATATCCGCCTAGCCTGAAGCAGAGAGGGGCCATCCATTGGGCCTGTTTTGTGAGTTCATGGGCCTCTCAGTGGCCATTTGAGCAATGGATTCAACAGGTGTCTTGGCATGAGCAGAGCAACTTAGCTGCTTAGTGCTGGTGAGAATGAGACCAAGCTAGTAGGAGGAGGAGGAGGAGGAGGAGGAGGAGGAGGAGGAAACTGTGACTGTGGGATAGCCTTTGAGCAGTGTTTCTCAACCTTGGCAACTTTACGACGTGTGGACTTCAACTCCCAGAATTCTCCAGCTAGCATTGCTAGCTGGAGAATTTTGGGAGTTGAAGTCCACACGTCGTAAAGTTGCCAAGGTTGAGAAACACTGCCTTTAAGCCCAGTGCAGAAGGTTGCCAACTCCTCCTCTAATTCTCCCTTGCAGTGCCTGCCCTATGACTCCAATTAACAATAATCATGAGCCCACCCTAGATCAGGGCTTTTCAACCAGTGGTATGGGTACCACCTGTGGTACATTGGCACCTGGCAGGTGGTACGCGAGCATCCTAGAAAAGTAGCAGGGGAGGGGAATGAGCTGAACCGGTGTCAGCAACGCACAAGCTTGAGTGAGAGACGGCTGGAGCTGTAGGGCTGTCAGGGCTCAGTGGAAGCGCCAGGATCAGCGCTTCTTCCGGGCTGTCAGAGCTCAGCGGAAACGCCAGGATCAGCTCCAGGCTCCAGCTGGAGCTCGGCGCTGATCCTGGCGCTTCTACTGAGCCCTTAAGCACCGATCAGCTGGAATGTTGCAACCTCTCCAGGGTCTTGTGATTTACATTCAGATGCTTGGCAACTGATTCATATTTATGACGGTCACAGGGTCCCAGGGTCATGTGAAATGACCAAAACCTGCTTCAACCACCCAGCAGATGGGGGGAAATAAAAACCAAACACCCCCTCACCCCACCTCTACTGCCAATCCTCAACAGAAATCCTCACAACAATGAAAACCTCGGACAGGAGGAAGAGTGCCGCTGGGCAGGCAGGTGTCTTGCTCGGCTGTGGCTTGGGGGGCACTTTTTTCAGTGACATTGTAACTTCAAAGAGTCACTAAGCGAACTGTTGTAAGTCGAGGACTACCTGTACTTTATCACTTTTTTCTTTTTTGGGGTCATCATGTTTTTGACACCTTGCTAGGCGACTGATGGTACTCGGATATTGCCATATTCTAAAAGTGGTGCAATGGATGAAAAGGTTGAAAAGCCCTGCCCTAGATTATCGGGAAGGTAAATACCAAACTGATTTCCCCATCTGAATTCTCCTGTCATTCCACATTAATGTTACAGGACATACCACCCCTCTTCTTCCAGGCCTACTTTAACCCACTCAAAGTTCTGAAAAGATGCAGATGATGATTTTTTTTCCTTCCTGGTTGTGATGAGCAGATCTTCTCCCCCAAAAGCTGCCTTGGCAAATCTCATGCTTTGTCAGCTTCATTTAAGCCAGTGGTTCTCAACCTGTGGGTCGGGACCCCATTTGGGGTCGAATGACCATTTCACGGGGGTCACCAAACCATGCTGTCTGCCATTTTTTTCCCTTTTCCCTAGATGTCCTACTCCCTCTTATTGGTGGCCACACCCACTTGGGGGTCACCACAACATGGGGAACTGTATTATGGGGTCACGGCATTAGAAAGGTTGAGAATCACTGATTTAAGCGAAATAGTGCTGTTGCTACAAAAAGCCAGCCAGTTTGGTGTAGCACTTAAAGCACCAGGTTAGAAACCAAGAGATCAGGATGTCCAGTCCCTGCCTTAGATGTGAAGCTATCAGTCCCTCTCTCTCAGCCCTAGAAGAAGGAGGCAATCGCGAAACACTTCTAAAATATTGCAAATGCAAACTGCAGGAACTTGTCCAGGCAGGCACCATGAATCAAGACTGACTCACAGGTTCCCCGTCTCCAACTTACAAAGCTGGTCGTGTAAATTCCAGATTCTGGATTAGCCTCAAGACATAGAAGCCTAGAACAGCGGTTCTCAAACTATGGGTCGCGACCCCATTTGGGGTCGATCGACCATTTCACGGGGGTCACCAAGCAAGGCTGTCCGCCATTTTTTTTCCCCTTTTCTGGTGGGTGCCTTACCTCCCTTGGGCTGGGCCAGCTGGTGGCCCAGCCGGTGGTCGGCCTGCTCTGTCTCTGCCACTTGCCAGCTATGCCTCAGCCGGCGCAGGGGGCGGCACCACGCATGCTCGGCACTCCCAGGCAGAGAAAGTCCTTGACTTACAACTAGTTTAGTCCTCAACGTACGACCGGTTTAGTCCTCGACTTACGACCGGTTGGGGGGTCGCGGCATTAAAAAGGTTGAGAACCACTGGCCTAGAAGGACTTTAGACCAGAAGTCCCCAACCTTTTGGGCACCAGGGACCGGTTCCATGGAGAGAGGATTTTTCACGGACTGGAGGGTGCGTGGTTTCGTATGCTGCCTGCCTCCCGCGAATGGGGCTTTGCTTGTTTGTGCGGCCCGGTTGCTGGCATGCTGCAGCCCAGTACTGGTCCATGGACCGGGGGTTGGGGACCCCTGATTTAGGCCAGTCACTCTCAGGGTTGCTGTTATAGTGATGTCAGGAATGGTGGGGGAGGAGGGGGAGGAATGGAGACCCACAGGAAGCCAACTCAAACTCTTGGAGAAAAGCCAAGCTATAAATAAAACAAATAAAACCCAGCCCGCAGCCATCCTCATTTGGGGGATGAAAACTCAAAACACCCACCTGCCCCAAACAGTTCCTTGTGCACTTCTAACACAACTGCAACTCCGATGTTGTCCTTTGTCATAACTCGATTCAGCATCGCTTCAGACCCTTCTGAGTTGGCCATCGCCACTTGATTGAACTCGACTGTGTGCTTCTGCACCAGTGTGAACCTGGAACCAAAACCGACATCCATACATAAATCACCAATTAAAAAGAGAAAGAAAACTCTATGAAGGACTGTTATTTGTAGGGAAAAGAAAAGCACTGACTTCTGACTCTTTTTGGTGCAGGTAATAATATACAACCTCAACTTTTGGCTTTTATATAATAATATATACTAGCCATTTCTGCAACAGCAACCAAATCCTCTTCTATTTGCCCACTGTTTTCATTTTTTTCTTTGTATTTCTGTTTTATATTTGGATAAACATCTGGGAAAAAAGGACAGCTATTTGTAAGAAATGAAAAAAATAAAAGCCACTACGAAGAATTCTAAGCATCCCTTCTGCGTTGTTTTTTTTTTTACACGCATATGGCGATTTCAGAACTGCTGCCATGTCTGGCTAGAACAGATGCTGATTTGGGAATAAACAGGGCCATTTGCCCACTTGAGCCACAATACGGAGGGGATCGCTTACTTTTCCGTTTTGAAGAATATTGCACAACCGTCCACATGTTTTCGCTCCTGCTCAGACATGATTTTGGCACGTGACTTTGGAGAAAAAAATCCGTCATATCCACGCTCTTTTAATGCTGGTAGAAAGAGGGTGAAGTATTGCTCGGTTTCCACTTCCTGGAAGCGAATGCGACACGGTTACTGGTGCACAAGAGAAAGGTGTGCAAAAAAGCAGGGACGCTGGCTTCTCTCTATTTCCCAAAGCCCTATGTTGGGAGTGCAGAGGATCCTCAGAAGGACTCCTCATGTTACTCCCAGCAACAAAGCAAAGAATCTTTGAAGGCGGATTCGCTTAATGCAGTGATGGCGAACCTTTTAGAGACCGAGTGCCCAAAAACTGGCCCCGCCCCTGCCCCGCCCACCCCACCTGCCTGCAGGGCCACTCACTGCCTCCAGGGCCCGCCGCAGATCGCCCAGGCAGCCCAGCAGCGCCATGGCAGCCACGCCCTCTGCCCACACCCCATAGCATCAACTGTGCGCGATGGGACGTGAGGGCAAACTCTTGTCTATACTACCTGGCTGCCATGTTCTTGGCTGCGCTGCTGTACATGGGCCATGCTCAGGGGCGACTCCTCCAGGGGGGCTGCTGGTGAGGAGGGGGTCGCAGGGGGAGACAAGGCTGGGGCAATGGCACTTGTGCCCACAGAGAGGGCTCCGAGTGCCACCTCTGGCACTTGTGCCATAAGTTCGCCACTACTGGCTTAATGAATGCATGATTCTGTTAACAACCATGGTAAAAACGGTCATAAAATCAAGTCTGGTCACGGGCGTGACTCAGTTTAGTCCTGCTTCCCTCTGTAGTCGAGCATTACCTATAACACAGGGGTCTTCAAACTTGTCCCCCTTGGGTCTTCAAACGTGTGCCTGGCTGAGGAATTCTGGGAGTTGAAGTCCACAAATCATCAAAGGGCCAAGTTTGAAAACCCCTGCCGTAACAGAATCTTACAAAGGTGAATGTGCCTCCCTCACTTCCTGTACGTTAGAGAGGGCTTGTCTGAGATATTTACTGAAACTTATCTGATTGATGCCTAGGTAGCTGTTCTTCCTGTCCTTCAAGACTATTTCCCAAACCCTCTGTTCATGGAGGAAGCCAACCAAGGGCCAGCATGATACTCCAAAGATGCTTACAATGCTGGCTGTGAAATTCTGGGAGTTGAAGTCCACATGCCTTAAAATTGTCAAGGTTGAGAAACACTGCTATATCATTTCAGACAAATGGCTGAGGAAACCCAGGTTCAAATTCACCTTTAATCACAGCAGTCCACTGGGTGAAGATGCTCTCCTCCTCTCTCAGTCCAACCTAACCTCATGAGAGTATTGTAGAGAACAGGCTGAAGGAGTGTTATGTACAGTGCATAACCTTTTCACCCATTGTACCACTTTTAGGATATGGCAATATCCGAGTACCACCAGTCTCCTAGCAAGGTGTCAAAAACTTGATGACCCCGCCCCAAAAAGGAAAAAAGTGATGAAGTACAGGTAGTCCTCGACTTACAACAGTTCACTTAGTGAGTGTTCAAAGTTACAATGGCACTGAAAAAAGTGCCCCCCAAGCCACAGCCGAGCAAGACACCTGCCTGCCCACCTGGCGGTGCTCTTCCTTCCTGTCCGAGGTTTCCATTGTTGTGAGCATTTCTGTTGAGGATTGGCAGCGGGGGTGGGGTAGGGGTGTTTGGTTTTTATTCCCCCCATCTGCTGGGTGGTTGCAGCAGGTTTTGGTCACTTCACATGACCCTGGGACACTGTGACCGTCATAAATATGAATCAGTTGCCAAGCACCTGAATGTAAATCACAAGACCGTGAAGATGCTGCAACGTTCCAGTTGATCGGTGCTTCTTCTGGGCTCAGCAGAAGCACCAGGATCAGTGCCAAGCTCCAGCTGGAGCCTGGTGCTGATCCTGGCGCTTCCACTGAGCTCTGACAGCCCGGAAGAAGCGCTGATCCTGGCGCTTCCACTGAGCCCTGACAGCCCTGCAGCTCCAGCCGTCTCTCACTCAAGCTTGTGCGGTGCTGACACTGGTTCAGCTCATTCCCCTCCCCCACTACCACTTTTCTAAGATGGCCGCGTACCACCTGCCAGGTGCCAATGTACCACAGGTGGTACCTGTACCACTGGTTGAAAAGCCTTGATGTACACTATCTTAACTCCTGGAGGAAAGACATGAAGTAATTCTGCCAAACAGGAAGACTGTCCCTTTCCTCCAAGAAATAATTTTTAAAACAATTTTATATTTGTAAACAGTTCTTAAGTTGTTCCTGAGTCAGACACCATTATTAAAATAGACCTAATTTAATTATAATTACCTGAAGACTAATGATATCTGCATCCCAGTTCACAATTTCTTCCATGATTCCTTTTTTTCTATATTCCCAGTTTAGAGCCCAGGAAGGACAGTAGCCATAGAGCTGTCGGGTAGCGTATTTATCACACAATACATTGTAGCACATGACAGTAAACGAAGCTGGAGAAAAGAAAGCCAATGATGAGAACAAGGATGAACAATGACGTGTGTCAAGGATTTTTTTGACAGAAGGACCACCTTATTCAGCACTACGGATATCAGCACAGTGGCCGAGAGCTGCCAATTTTCAAAGAAAGCAAGAGTAAAAAAATTCTTTAAAACAAAAACACATTTTATAGGTTAGTTTGGAGTGGTGGTTAAGGCGCCAGGCTAGAAACCAGGATATGGTGAGTTCCAGTCTCGCCTTAGGCATGAAAGCCGGCTGAGTGACTTTTAGCCAGTCATACTCTCTGTCAGCTCAACTCACCACACAGAGTGATGGTTGTGAGGAAAGTAAAAGGAGACAGGAGCAATAGGTATGTTAGCCTCCCGGACTTATTTATAAAAATAATAAAGGGGAAATAAACAATAAAATGCAAATATATTTAAGCATGGCGAATCCTCTTTTGTTTTTGTATTGCAGGGCTTTCTTGAGAATTTATTAAATGCTGTGCTAGGATCCAAAGGTTGATTGCTAAATGCATTATAGTCTGGGGCCAGCAGATAATCTCTTAATTTCTTAATCCACAACAATTATGCACACTTCAGCAGCCTCACCACACATCTTGTCACCTTTGGTTTCTTAAATAAGCCATAATTGTCTAGATTGCCCAAGATAAAATCTAAAATCAAGCAGATCATATTATGGCTTAGTGCAGGGGTAGGCAACCTTGGCTCTTTTATGACTGGTGGACTTCAACTCCCAGAATTCCTGAGCCAGCCATGCTGAGAGGAAAGGGAGAGCTTTCCAAGCTGAGCCATGTTGGCTCAGGAACTCTGGGAGTTGAAGTCCACGAGTCATAAAAGAGCCAAGGTTACCTATCTCTGGCCTAGGCCTAGGCTACTTTATGACTCGTGGACTTCAACTCCCAGAATTCCTGAGCCAGCATGACTCAGCTTGGAAACCTCTCCCTTTCCCCTCAGCGTGGCTGGCTCAGGAATTCTGGGAGTTGAAGTCTACGAGTCATAAAAGAGCCAAGGTTGCCTACCCTTGGCTTAGTGTAATGCACAAAACCAACCAGAGAAATTAAACCTGATGCATAGAACCTTCCCCAAGTTACAACAGGCAGGAGTCATTGTTTAACGACTCTAATTGGGGATGGAACTTCCATTGCTAAGGAATGTCGGGGGAAACATCACGCGACACCACTTATTGACAACAGTTTAGGTAGTCCTGGCTGCGGTCGTTAGGCAAGGACCTCATGCTTTTCCTGCCCTGCTGTGTTTGCATCTGCTTCAAACCTCCCCCCCCCCCGCCGCCTATCTGACCCTCATCTCTGCTCTTTGGCCATCCTGTGCTCAGCCGCCCTTGCTGTCCTGCATTGAGGTCCACAGCCATGGTGGGCGCACCTGGTCAGCAGTGGGAGGAAGAAGATGGCAATGATCAGCTGGGGACAGCAAGGGTGACAGAGCACCAGGCAGCAGATGTCTGATGTCTGAAATGGTATAGGGTTTCCTGCCTGAGCAGGGGGTTAGACTATATGACCTCCAAGGTCCCTTCCAACTTAATAATAATAATTATTATTATATTATATTATTATTATTATTATTCATTAGACTTGAACCACAGTCAACTGAACATTCATATTGGCTGGCGCTGATGGTTGACACGGGTTGCTACCAGCATCCTAGGTGTCAACCAGGTACCTCCTTAAAATGTAAGATGTTCTGAGTAGCACAGGTTTTTGTAACATTGCTGGAGTTATTGCAGTTGTTGTTGTTATTGTTGTTGTTATTATAGATTACCATCAAAAGGGCAGAGATGGGGGAGAAAAGGCAGGTGGAGAGAACTGAAGTACACACTGCAATCATAAATGTGGGCAGGCTTATAAGCATCCGAACTTTTGACAGCAGAGATGCTGCAACAGCCGTAACTTTGAGGCACAAGTACCCATTGTTCAGCACCTTTACAACTTCAAGCGGTTGCTGAATGGATGGATATTCACTGAGGACTACCTTAGCTTGCTATGGGTGAAGTTTCTCTCCTTCCCCTTTAGCTTCTTGTGCTGCTGCAGCATAAACTCAAGATGCATCATTTGGGTTTCCTGGAGTCCCATTAAGCTTAAGCTCTCCCTGACTGGTGCTATCGTCGTTTAAATACTATTCCTCTATTTAGCTTTTAACACAAAGCTTAAATGGAGTGTGGTCTGAGAATGTTCTCATTTTCACGCCTTGATTCTTATTTCAGACGTTCAGTGACTTTCTGCAACCTAAGATACTTAAAAAAAAAAAGTATAAGAGCCCTCCTATAAGCACAACAATGCCTTCAGTTAGTTGGGTCAGAGAGAATACACCTTACCAATCAAAGTAATACCTGAGGGCAGAATTTGGTCTCGCTCTTTTAATGTAATCCATGGCCTTGGAGGCAGCTGCTCTGGATGAACTGAAATAACAAAGAGACTGAATGTTAGTGAGGGTTACAATCTAATTCAGGGGTGTCAAACTGCCGGCCCGTGGGCCAGATGCGTCATGCCAAAACCACGCCCACCCCAGCTGCAGCAACGGGAAAAAAGTCACGTCACGTCGCGACACATCACGTGACGCGGAGAGTTTGACACCCCTGGTCTAAGTCCTTGAAGTCCTGGAATTTAATGTCATAATCATGCATGATATAAACATGGTACCCACATGGCACCAAGCAGCCAGTTCTTCTTGGCAAGAGCATTCAGCAGGGGGTTGGACTAGATGACTTCCAAGGTCCCTTCCAACATCATCATCATCATCATTATTATTATATTATTATTATTAATAGTGTGTTCAGAGAGCGCACGCATCCTTTTAGGAGGAATCTGAATGTAAAATTCTTCCTCTAACAAAGCTTACATTTCGTAAGTAGGACAGATGGCTAGGATCATCATTTTTTAAAAAAAATTCTTACCTGCTAGATTGTCAAGCATGTAGTTCAACAATTTACGTGTCCCATCTGGGTCCTGGTACAGGCTGAGAATATCTTGTGATAAAGGATTGCCTGGAACCCAAGCAAGATTTTTTAAAAGAAATTGCTTCCACAGTAGTCTCAAATTGAATGAATTAATATTTACTGTAACAATCCTTAATTATCCTTAATCCTTTATTTATCTTGGAAGGCAGGTTAACTTAGTAACCTATCTTTCAGTTCTAGAATAAACCAGAAGACCTGATAACATTTTCATCCCTAGAGAAAATACTTCATAAAGACATCAGTGAACCAATAGAGTAACAGATTTGGAAGGGACCTTAGAGGTCTTATAGTCCAGCCACCTGCTCAGGCAGGAAACCCTATACCATTTCAGACAAGTGGTCATCCAATCTCTTCCCCTGCAGTGTTGGAGCACCCACAAGTCTAGAGGCAGGTTATTCCACTACTTAATTGTTCTCACTGTCAGGAAGTTTCTCCTTAGTTCTAGGTTGCTTCTCTCCTTGATTAGTTTCCATCTGTTGCTTTTTGTCCTGCCTTCAGATGCTTTGGAGAATAGCTTGACTCCCTCTTCTTTGAGATATTGGAACACTGCTATCATGTCCCCCCTCGTCCTTCTCTTCACTAAACTAGACATACCCAATTCCTGCAACTGTTCATTATATGTTTTAGCCTCCAGTTCCCTGATCATCTTTGTTGTTCTTCTCTGCACTCTTTCTGGAGTCTCAACATCTTTTTAATATCGTTGTTCTTCTCTGCACTCTTTCTGGAGTCTCAACATCTTTTTAATATTGGATGCAATATTCCAAGTGTGGTCTTAGCAAGGCATTGTAAAGTGATACTAACAGGAAAGTGGGAATTATTGTGAAATCCATTTTGGTACACAATCAGAAGGACAGTAGGAAGTGATTTCACCATCACCCCATCAAACGAAGAGGTTTATCTCAAACTCTATTTATCTGGTTCTGCCTTCCAAAACAGAGCCTTTCTGCTTTATTTTCTTAATGTTTAGCTGAAGTATTTGGAACTTCTTTTTTTTTAATTCATGGGGCTGGAACTAAAACAATTTGGGCAGAAGTCATCTTTACTAGATAAACGGAAAAACACAGATTTCAATGTTCTCCTATCTTTATCTGCAACTGGAGTTTTCAAAGTATTATTCAAAGGCAACTGTGTCCTTGAAGACATTCCTTTTGGCTTGGATTCTTTTTAGGGCTGATAACAGGTCAAAAACTTTATTAGTACAATAAAATATGTTAACTAGGAAACAAAAGCAAATTGTGTTTGTGGGCTTCAAAGAGGCATTCCATTTGCCAAATTAGAACTTGCTCTTTTAAGGAAAATCTACCTGGCTGATCTTGCTTGTAACAGGAGAACAAATTTAACCTTCCCTGCCTGCTGTGCTACTCTATAACTGAGACTTAACTAAGTGTTTCTCGAGTTACACTTGATTCCTGGAAACTATAGGGACACATGTTGGAGTTTTGCCAACCATATAGATTTGTAGTGCTTAGTGCTACTCTATAGACAGAGTAGCAAAAGTAAATCATATCAAAATAAAAGGCTAACCAAAAAAACACCTCAAGACTGATAGAAAGTTTATTGATTTATTGCTTAAGAAGCCCTTCTAAGTTGATTTCAACTGGCATCGTTCCCCAGGAAGGGAGATGATGTTAGAAATACAGAAAAGTTAGAAATAAAAGAATCAGGCTAAGAATATACACTATATATTATATTATATTCCTCCCCCCCCAAAACTTGTCCCCTCCCCTTTTGTGGCATAAATTTGGTTTGTTGGTAGCACCAAGTTAACTTTTTTTCCCCTTGGGCAGAAACAAAAGTGTATATTTAGGGAAGAGTGTGGAACATGGGTGCTATTTTCTGTTTCCTTCTCCTGCACCAGATTATGACTGATTGGTGGGATTCTTATATATGGATTTTTTTAAAAAAAGAAATCAATTGCTGAAATTGTTTTGTACAAGAGGCGAAATAAACCACATATAATATATAAGTATATATTACAGGTAGTCCTCGACTTACAACATATACAGACATTTGTCTGAAATGGTATAGGGTTTCCTGCCTGAACAGGGGGTTGGACTAGATGCCTACAAGGCCCCTCCCAACTTTATTATTATTATTATTATTATTATTATTATTATAGATCAGTGGTTCTCAACCTTTTTAATGCCGCGACCCCCAAACGGTCGTAAGTCGAGGACTACTCAACCGGTCGTAAATTGACTGGTGCAGCACCGTTTGCAGAATGGGACTTTTGGTGGGCTCAGCAGGGCAGAGACAGCCTGGACAATTCCTATTGGCTTTTGAAAGCCAATAGAATTAGACTCTATTCAAGAGAGTCTGTTCTATTGGCTTTCAAAAGCCAATAGAATAAAAGGGAGTAGCACAGCTAAGGAAAAGGGAAAAAAAATGGCGGACTGCGTTGTTTGGCGACCCCCGTGAAATGGTCGTTCGACCCCAAATGGGGTCCCGACCCACAGGTTGAGAACCACTGTTATAGATAGTCCCAAACAACCATTTGTTTAGCAACCATTCAAAGTTAGAAGAGCACTGGTATGTATCTATGACGATCGCCTTTTGCGACCTTCTGTCGAGCAAAGCCAGATTCGTTTCAAAACTCTGTTGCTAATTTAACAACTGCGGTGATTCCCTTAACAACTGTGAGAAGAAAGGTTGTAAAAGGGGACAAAACTCATTTAACAACTCTCTTGCTTAGCAATAGAAATTTTGGACTCAATTGTGGCTGTAAGTCGAGGACAACATGTACTGCCTCCAAGAGGTTAATAGAGGACGGGAAAAAGTCAGACCAAGGGGGAATCGGAGTGACTTAAGCCCCCCAAAATATATTTCTTACTACTGTTTACCTTTCAGTCCTAAGGTTTGTAGCTGGAAGAGCCGTCCAAGTTCATAAGGCAAAACTCGTAGCAAATTGTTGTTTAAAAGCAATTCCCTAAAACCAGAATAAATCTATATAAATAAAAATGTAAATGTTCGTTTGTTCAAAATCTTAAATCTCCGAAAGTTCTTCACTGATTGCTTTGAAATTTTGACACAATGTTGCATTCGAATACGCACATGTTTTTATATACCTACGGTTATATAGATGTCACACCTGTGACAGGTAACAGATATGCCATTTCAATTTAAGAGATTGCAATTCCCAATTCGATTGGCGTTTGCAATCACCATCAACAAAGCTCAGGGCCAATCTTTAGAATTGTGCGGTTTAGATCTAGACACGGATTGCTTCTCACATGGACAATGATATGTTGCGTGTTCTAGAGTCGGCAAACCAGACAATCTCTGTATCTGAACATACAATGGAACAACAAAATATATTGTATATCCACAAGCATTGTGAAATTAAACATCTTACAAGCGTGCGCTTTCTCTTTTCTTTCTTTTCCATTTAACCAGACTGAGTCACAGCAACGCGTGGCCGGCTATAGCTAGTTATTTAATAAAGGCAGTTTAAAAGAGGTTCACACATCTGCACTCATTGTGATACTTTTCTAAGTGGTGAAATGGAAAACACGAAGAAAGCATCAGAGCGTCTTGTGTTAGTATAATCAGCCCACTTCCAGATCAATCATTTCTGAGGATAAAGGTATATAGTTGGGTGCCGGATCATAATGTGTACAAACAAAATAACAATTTCTGTTTACAATTTGTCAACCAAAAACTGAAGGAAGTCCACAAGGGTGGCCAAGGCTGTGGGCTTCAGACTAAGCTTTATTTCAGATTGAAATAAAGGATCAGATAAAGAAGGACAAAATATTAGAAGAATTCTTGTCCAGTTTTTAGAAGATTTTTTTTTTAAAAAAAAACACCTTTGGCTCTAGAACAGTAGCAGAGCTTGTTTTTCAAGATCGTAAACATCCTGACTTGGATGTTCAGAAATTATTTAAAGTTTTTGAACAAGTATTTTTGCAGATATTAGGCTCATTCCAAAGTCCATAAAAATGCCAGAAGGGCAGAGCAAAAACTATTATCCAAAATAAGAGTCCCAAGTTGAGTTTTCTACCATATGTGGCAACATTTATCCATAGCTTGAATCAGTTTATTTCCTCTGGTTTCCTCCTTCCCCAATGCTCTTGATCACATTATGCCAAGGAGCATACATTTCAAAATATTACTACTCTACCCACAAATTACGTAAAAAGAAAAGTACAAAAATTCTTGCATCCATACAGCAGCCAAGACAACAGCAGCAAAAACTCTTTTAGATTTGAGATTATTGCTGAAGAGAATTCAATTCTCACCTGAGAGAAACCATGTTTCCTAGTTCTGCTGGTAAACTTCGGAGTTTGTTGGATGAGAGATCCAGGTAAACCAGATTATGAAGCTTGGCAATATCAGGTGGAATGCGAGTCAAATAGTTGTCATTGAGGTGGAGAGCAGTCAAGTGGGTTAATGACCAAAGTGATGTACTTAAATTGCGCACTCTACCTAAAATCAGAAACAGGTTGTCGGGCAGGTAGAGAGAGATAAGAGGTTTTTTTCTACACACTCAACAAATATATTTACCGTATATGCCGGCGTATAAGGCGACTTCCGTAAGCGCTAAAATCAGCGCCAAAGACGGGGGTCGTCTTATATACCGAGTCGTCTTATACGCCGGAAATACTGGTAGTTTCCGGCGTATAAGACGACTTTCTAGGAATGCGGCTCGGCGACAAAGACGGGGGTCGTCTTATATACCGGGTCGCCTTGTACGCCGGCATATACGGTAATTTTGCAATTGCAACAAAATATACCAATCATGTACCAAATAATGATTTCAAGCTCCTATTCAGTGTGAAAATAGTATTTTATACATACATATATACACACACACATACACACACACATACACATACATACATACATTCATTATAGACAGACTATAACTTCTATATATTTGCCTTTGTGAAAGAGTGTCAAACCAGCTAAACAAACAACTAAGAATTATCTTGAATCAAAAAACTTTACTGGCTAGCTGAAGAGGCAAAATTTGTATTTCTTCCAGGTAAAGAGAGATGTCAAGACCAAAGAATTAAATATTAACAATTGCCTCTTCTACAAAAACACATTATTTTTTTAAAATTCTTCTCTGCGCATTTGGATTAAAATAAGTATTTAAGAAGGATGCATTTAAAGTTATGCATCTGAGTAGGAAAAATGAAAGTTACAAACCCAGCTTGGCAATACAGGAAGTCTTTGACTTACAACTAACTAGGTTGCTTTGAAATTGAGATGGACCAAAGAAAAGGTACTTAGGACCTGGATTCGAAGTTCTGGTGGCCACCATCACCACCCCAGTCACATGATTGCATTTTGGGTGCTTGGCTACCATCCCACATTTACGGCCATCTGCAGTATCCCATAGTCACATGACTGTGTTTACTTCGCTTCAAACAGAAAATGTCCATTGTGGACAATGGGTTCGCTTAACAACCGCAGGACTTGCTTAATGATTGCAGATTTGCTTATCGACCATGGCAAATCACTTTAAAAAAAAATCCGGTTGATCACAAGACGACCTGCATGCCTTTTGACGTAACTCCCAATTCAGTTATGGTTGTAAGTTGAAGACTACCTGTATAAAAGCTTTAATAGGAGCATAGAGTCCAGATCACAGGGAGTTAATTGTTCTACTTTCCTTTGATCTGGTCGTTTATCGGATTCCTTACCCGAGATTTCCAACTCTGCCCAGTGGGACTTCTTCCCATTGGCTACCTCTTCTGCTGACATGATGGTATATATTCTGCGAGGATCTGGAGGATCATATTTTTCCTTTGGCATCCCTGTTAGTCTGAAAGAGGCGGCAAGGTCATTATTACAGCATGCAAGTAATAACAAACAGTTTTCTCATCATTAAATGACTCATAAGCGTGACAGATAACTGGTGTACAATATGGAACAAAAAGTTTGTTTGCTACAAAATGCTGCCCTGAAAATGAAGCTAGACATAATGGGAGCCACCCCCCCGTCTTAAAAAGTTGTATTTATTACTACAGGTAGTCCTCGACTTACAACCGTTCATTTAGTGACCATTCAAAGTTGCAGCGGCACTGAAAAAAGTGACTTATGACCTTTTTAAACATTTATGACCGTTACAGCAACAGATCACGTGATCAAAATTCAGACGCTTGGCAACCGACTCATATTTATCACAGTTGCGGTGTTATGAAGTCACCTTTTGCCACCTTCAAATAGGGAAGCCAGATTCACTTAACTGTGTTACTAACTTAACAGCTGCCGTGATTCACTTAACCATGGGGCAAGAAATGCCCCACATAGTAAAATGTGGCAAAACTCACTTAACATCTGTCTCACTTAGCAACAGAAATTTTGGGCTCAGTTGTGGTCGTACGCTATCCATTCTGGACTGGCTTTGAAAAGCTTACAAAAAAAGAGACTGCATGAAAAACAAAAGTAAAAGCTGAAGTCCAAAATTATGCTGTAATCAAAAGAATCGGTCCAGCTCAACCTAACAAACCCTTGAAGGTCTTATCCATTAGCCAGGTTTTTAATGGCTCTTTTGAAACCCAGCAGGGATGAATAAATCTTTATGTAAAAGCAAACCGTTTCACCCTGGTCCGTGGACCGGTACCGGGCTGTGGCATGCCAGCAACCGGGCCGCACAAACAAGCAAAGCCCCATCCGCGGGATGCAGGCAGCACACAAAACCACGCCCCCTCCGGTCCGTGGAAAAGCCTCTCTCCACGGAACCGGACCCTGGTGCCCAAACGGTTGGCGACCTCTGCATTAAACAGGGCCGCCACTGAGAAAGTCCGATTCTGGGTACCAGCAGATGAAACTCCTTTGGTGGCAAGACCTTCAACAAGCTGCAATCTCGATGTTTCGTTGTCAGACAGATTTTATTTATTTACCAAATTCATTTGCCGCCCATCTTGCAGTTCAAGGCAAGATTCATTTTGGAGCAGGTCTGAAGATATCTAGAAATACCCCAATGGCAAAGAATATACTTAGGGTGATGGTGGGCTTATCAACAAAAAGGGGACATTTGATGACCAGTTCAAAACAATATGTTGGAAAAGAGACCATTGCAATCGAATTCTCAACAGAGGGCCTTATTTGGTAGCTTCTGCTGGATTGTTTTGTTTAAAATAGTTTCCCTTAATTTCTATGATATCACCGTGTGCGATCTTCTATGGGATATTACTGTTATTGCATTTTAAGAACACTGTTCTTAAAGTGCACAGAAAAATGATACAGAAACAATTTTAATAAATAATGCATGGGTATAATTTTATACTCTTTAGCGATCCAATGGATTTGATTTTTAAGACCATCTTCACATGGAAATACTACTATCATATTTAACTAAGTAAATACTTCTGAAGTAAAAATAGAACAAGCAAAAGTTTGTTCTATATTTTTGTACTGTATATCTAACTATCTACCTACAAACAAATTAAAAAGCTTGATAGTGTTATCTCATGCCTAAAAGATGAGTAACATGAACCCAAAATGAGAAATCTATTACAAGTAATTTTTATGGGTAATTTACTTTTTCAAAAATCTGCTATCTCTATAGAAATGCTATTCTGTGGCAATTTAATTAGAGTCATTAAGGTTTTTTTTTCTCAAAATAGAAGCATTAATTTCCTAGAAATATTAACTACTTTTTCCCTAAGAGATTTTTATTTTCATTTTTGCCACCCAGAAGTGGTCTAAATTAATACTTAGAGTAAATTAAGGTTTTCAACTATGAAATATAGCACATAATTAATTACACTGTTCCTTAGCATAACAATGCCAAAAGCTGGTATGAAGTATTTTTGTTTAGAACAGTGATGTGGACTTTTAGAAGAGGAAGCTTCTATTTTTTCTGCATTTAAGTTGGAAAAGAAATAAACTAGGAACATGAAATAAACTTGAAATGAGGAATTTCAAAAACAGGAATCATTTCTGAAGCACCTGAAAGCAGGACAAGAAGCAACAGATGGAAACTAATCAAGGAGAGAAGCAACCTAGAACTAAGGAGAAACTTCCTGACAGTGAGAACAATTAACCAGTGGAACAACCTGCCTCCTGAAGTGGTGAATGCTCCAACACTGGAAGTTTTTAAAAAGAGACTGGACAGCCATTTGTCCGAAATGGTATAGGGTTACCTGCCTGAGCAGGGGGGTGGACTTGATGATCTCCAAGGTCCCTCCCAACTTTATTATTGTTGTTGTTGTTGTTGTTTGATTGATTTTACACTTGTCTATGGCAAGGAAATGCAACCACAGCTGTCTAGATATTGTCAGCTCCTAGAAATCTCAGGCAGCAAACATGTAGCCAACATTCTTAACAATCAGCCCTAATTTATTGTCTGGATCCAGATTCAGATAATCCTCAACTTACGACCACAACTGAGCCCAAAATTTCTGTTGCTAAGTGAGACATATGTTAAGTGAATGTTACCTCATTCTACGACCTTTTTTGCCACAGCTGTTAAGTGAATCACTGTAACTGTTAAGATAGTAACACAGTTGTTAAGTGAATCTGGTTTCCCCATTGACTTTGCTTGTCAGAAGGTTGTAAAAGGTAACTGCATGTTCCTGGGATGTCTGACAAGCAACCGTCATAAGTATGAATCAGTTGCCAAGCATCTGAATTTTGATCATGTGACTATGGGGATGCTGTAATGGTCCTAAGTGTGAAAAAATAGTCATAAGTCACTTTTTTCAATGACACTGTAACTTCCAATGGTCACTAAATGAACTGTTGTAAATCGAGGACTGCCTTTATAGTCATGTGAGACCAGACTGTGGACATAGATTCCCTTAAGCAAATTAAATAGGAGAAATTAAATATAATTTCTATAACTGAATAGCTGGGTTAAGTTGATGTAAATTCTTCTATTCCAAACAGCTGTACATCGTGAGGCTGGATGCAGAATTAGGATATGCTGCTATGTTTGGTTGTTGTTGTTTTTTTAAAAAAATATTTCTAAGGGTTAATGCTCTTTGCCTTAGTCAACAATACATGCTTACTATATTCCAACGCAAACTTTTCAAAGAATTTTATGCCCAGTGGTCCTATTTGGCTGACACACAAAACTACATGACCACAAAATATATACCTTAGCAACTGGCATTTGTACACAGTGAAGACAAAGCTACACTCTAGGCTATAGATTTACAAGGGCATCCTTGAAAACACAAGCTGCCAAAAGAGTTGCATTTCAGTAGGAAGCAAATTGTATCAAGGACAAAAGGAGTGGGTGGATTGTTTTCTTAAAATAGCCACCCTTCTGGATCTAATCATAACGGTTACAGTCAAATCCTCTTTTCCATACCACTTCAGAGGAACAACACCTCCACGCAAATGCGAACTTTACAAAAAGTTTAAAAAATGAACACAAAAAAATCCAGTCCTGCAACCAAACTTAGCATAATTACCTTATGCCAGTGATGGCGAACCTTTTAGAGACCGAGTGCCCAAACTGCAACCCCAAACCCACTTATGCATCGTCGGGTGCCGGGTGGGTGTGGCCCATTGGCTGGGTGTGGCCTATTGGGTGGGCATGGCTGCAGTGGTAACGGCAGACTGGTAGGACTAAAAAGTTCAATCAATCAATTCCAACTTTGCAAGACCTTTTTTTTCCTGCGAGTAGTTGAAATTGACTGATTGAACCTTTTTTTTTTTTTTTTTTTGCACACGGCAGCGGAGGCCTAAAGCGAAAAGGTTTTATAAAACCAAGCTGAAGGCCTAGGACTGGGGCAACGGCGCGTGTGCCCACAGAGAGGGCTCTGAGTGCCGCCTCTGGCACCCGTGCCATAGGTTTGCCACCACTGCCTTATGCGATCCACCTTTAACGCTTGGCATAAGTAACACTGTGTGCTTTAATCCATGAGCTGGTAACATTTTACAGGTAGTCCTTGACTTACGACTACAATTGAGCCTACAATTGTATGACCCTGATTGCATGACCCTGGGACACTGCAACTGTCACCAATATGAGCCAGTTGCCAAGCATCCAAATTTTGATCACCTGAACATGGAGGTCATACATGTGAAAAATGGTCATAAGTCACTTTTTTCAGTGCTGTTGTCATTTCGGTCACTAAATGAACTGTTGTTAAGTAGAGGACTACCTGTACTACTTATTATATCATATACAAATAATCCTCAATTTACAATCAGTTGCTTACCACCCATATGACAGAGCTCCAAAAAGGTGGTCACAGCCCGGATTTGAAGTTCCAATGGCCACACCCCCTCCATGGTCATGTGACCACATTTTGGGCACTTGGCAACCAATCTGCATTTATGACCATTTGTAGCAGTCACATGACCATGATTTGCAACTTTTTTGGGGGGGGGGAGGAAACCAGCATTTACCCATTGTGGACAATAGTTACGCTTAATGATTATGGCACTTAACAACTGCCACAAAAAAAGATGTACAATTGAATGTGGTCATGTCTGAACTGCTTAATGACTAGCACAACTTACATAATTGAACTCTGAATTAAGGTCATAAATCGAGGACTACCTATATCATTCTGATTTGATTTTTGATTGCTTAGAGCAGAGGTCCCCAACCTTTTGGGCACCAGGGACCGGTTCCGTGGAGAGAGGTTTTTCCGCAGACTGGAGAATGCGTGGTTTTGTGTACTGCCTGTATCCCGCGGATGGGGCTTTGCTTGTTTGTGTGGATCGGACCAGTACTGGTCCACGGCATGGGGGTTGGGGACCTCTGGCTTACAGAAAACAGACACCATCTTAATCTGAAATGCATCTACTCTGCATGAAAAAATTTTTTAGAGTCAACCCAAATCTTTCAAATTCAATGAC